TGCAATATTTCAAAACAGTTTTTATTTGGAGTCAAATGTAACTGCTGGTCTACCAGCTGAGTGCAGCCATAGCACTTCCCATCCCTGTGGCTGCTTCTTTGTCTCTGCATTGTAAACAAGGACCCTTATTCCTCTAACAAAGGCCAAGTGTCTGGAGAGTGTCCAGACCACGGCCACTTTAGGAAGCAAAGTTTTTCATTAACTTGTCATAAAAGCAGGTTTTGATCTACTCTGTTGTTTTCACAAACACCTCTTTTTAAAACATAATATAAAAATCCCTTTTTGTAAGCATCTGTGCTTTCTTTGATGTATTTTTGATTTCAGCTCAAATATTGTGCTTTACTGAACGCACTGCCTCATGAAGAGTGGGTTCTTGATGGGCTACCCTCGGACCCTGCACTCACTCAGGTGCTGCAGGCTGGCAAAGTCCTTTCCTCATGGTCAGCAGCTGCCTGAGCCACAGCAGGTCCCTGCAGAACAGCACAGCTGATCAGAAACCTCAGCCATAAATGTTACTTAGCTTCAGCTTTCCCTGTGCCAGCCCAAGGTACCTCTGTTCTTTTCCTGCAGCAGCCCGGGTTACTTATCCCTGCTCTGTAAGGGGGCAGTGGATGGTCACAGGCAGAGACCAGCCCCTGTCTGCCTTTGCTCTGCAGGGCTGGCTGTGGAGGGAGGGCAACTGCTCCCTGAAACCACCAGGGACTTGCAGCAGTTATTTCCACCGTGATCCCTCACCCAGGTTTTGGGACCTGCCACTCTGCCTCCCTTTTTGCTTGCTCCCATGGGGTGAGAGTGGAAACAGAGGCTTTCATTAATTGCAGTGCCTTTGTGGCTGCCATGGCTTGGAGAGTCACACAGGGAGCTTGGAGGTGGAGGAGTTTCTCCATGGATGCTTCTACTTGGTGGCTGTCTCACGTGGACCTTGTTCCCTGGGCACTGATCCATGGCTGGTTTTTTCTTCCCCCTGCCAGCAGAGGTGCCCTTGGTCCATCCTGTGTTGTGTCACTGTCTAAGAAGTTGTGTCAGTGATCTCACTGCCCTGTTGATCCCAGGTTGGTGAGTCCTTCCAGCTGCTGTAGGGCAGCTCCTGCTCCCCTTGCTGTGTTCCTGCAGGCATCAAGCCACGCAGTCGGGAATACAGCTTTGTGGTAGATAAAGAAGGGCTGACTGATCTTGTGATTTTCAAACAGTGTTTGAGATTTAAGAGATTCAGAGATACATCTCTGCTCAAGTTCATGGCAAAAGGAATTCCCTGGATTCAGCTGCCAGGTCAGCCAGTGGCTTCCTGTGCAAAGCTGTTGGAGATTTCATATCCCACTTCCTTGGCTCCCCACCTATGGGCAGCCTTGTGAGAGAGCTCACTGGTAGTGAGGCACTTGGGATTACAGTGCTGCTGTGGCCTCAGAGGAGTCCCAGATATCCAACAGCACTGAAAGAAACACAGTGAGCTCCTCCAGGTGCCAGGGGTGGGACAAACCTCCCCTTCTGGCCATGCTGGCTGAAAAAGGCTCATCAAAGCAGTAACAGGAAACTGAACAAACACAGAGGCTTGACTTGGTTTTGTAATCAGAGCCATCCCCTTGCAGGTGGGACACCAGCCTTGGCAGGTCAGGAGAAACTGTGACTTTGGGCAGAACCCTGCTGTGCATCCACCCTCAGGCTGGATGCTCCTCTGGAGCTGTGATCATCAAATGTGGCCAGAACTTCAGTGCTCCCTATTCTTACTACTGCACTTAAGTGTTCAGTGAAAGTCTCTGAGGCAGTTCTCATCAAAAGTATATATTTATTTATAAAAAAATAATGAGAGAAAATATATATACCAAAGAGCTTTTTCTATAAAAGACAATTCCTTGGAGGCTGAATGTCCTAGACCCAAGTATACCTGGCATTGCAGTACATATGCCTGCATAGCTGTACACAGCTGATCCAGATCTGATGCTAAATAAATTGGGAATTTGGAATTAGAAGGTTAACAAGGGATTTTTTTTCACTGAAAACTAAGAGACATTAACCACACATCTCATACTGGCTTCTATTAGAGATGTACAGCCAGCTCCCTGCAGTGGGTTTAAAATTCAATCCAGAGAAGAAAAAAATACTTTTTTTTTTTACTCCAGGTCTTATATTGCTTCACTGTTTGAGTTCATCTCTATACAAAAGACATATGGCCAGACTCCTGTCCAGTGTAAAGCACCAGTGTCATGCACACACTCCAATATGTGGCTTAGACTCAAGAAACCCTCTTGATTCCTCTTCTTGTACCTCCTTGGTTTAAGGATACCAGATAAAATACCACAGATTCACCAGAATTTTCAGTTAAATAAATCAGCAATTTAAGTGAATTTGAGGCTCCTCATTCTGCCCATGCTCACTTCTGGTTTCAGAGTCTGTGGGCAGCTACTGGGGTATGGTTCCTTTGGGAATAGCAGAGGGGAGACAGTGACCCAGACAGCAGGACAGTTCCTCAATGCTGAACCTGCCTTTGAAATATGGCAAAACAGCAGATCTTTTCCTTTGAGAAAATTCTGTATTGGGGTATCCTGTCAGGTTTGCTTCTATAGGTGCCTCATGTCAAAGTATATCTGGTGAGCATTTTAACTTCAATCTCCTCTTTGTTATCATCTGTTTGAACCCTGTAGGTCAGCTATGCCAAAACAAATCATTCAAATTCTCCTTTGGATGGATCTTTTATTCCTTCAGGCAGACTGAATGGAGACTCATTCAAATCTGAAACATGGTTAAAACTATGAAAACAACCAGAAAAAAAAGCCTTCTTGGATCTCCTCCTGCAAGCACATTTTGGCCTGATTTCTGCTGCTTATTTTATGGTTGTTTTTTGTTTTAGATTTTATATGCAACTGATTAGCACCTTTATTTGCTTTTAATATTATATTTGGTTCTGAAACACTACCATCACCCCTGAATTTTTCCTTTTCACAGATATATCTCAGTATATGGAGGAGAGCAGTTACTGGGATAAGGCAAATTTCTCCAGCAGCAGCACTGCCCATGGCTTATCTCCCACCATGATGATGATTGGTCATGGGAAAGGAGGTATGAAACAGCCACTGCTATGTCCTAAACCATGTCATGGTGAGACCATTTCACCATGGAACACCACTGAAAAACCCTTTTCCTTCAAGTCTCTGCAATGAAGGCACCTGTGAATGCTGTTAGAGATTATGATATTCCAGAAAGGTTGCCAGGGGTTCCAGCACTTAATGGCACTTCTGACAGGGAATATGTGAGTAAGAGGAAATACACACACCAGTTACCGGCAGAAAGAAAATGCACAACGCTTGCATTCAGAAGAAAGCATTCATGGTTAATCTTCTGTAAAAGAGTAACAGCAACAAAAAAGTTTTCTGGACTTGAAGTAGATACTGAATAATAAGACCTTCTCATTTTGAGCATTAACAGCTGCTACAAAAACTAGTAACTCTCACTACTCAGTGGTGCCTTGTAACTATATGTGCAAGTTGTGCACATGAATAGCTGGTCTGAGAGCTTAGAAATATTAATTGCAAATGAGACAGCAGGTTATGCATAAGACCTTGTTTTCTTAAAAAAGTAATTTCTGCAAAATCAAGAGCAAACTCTTTTGCTCTTAAAGTAATTTTCAAGTTTTTGATTTTTAAAGTTTTAAAATACAATTTGTCAGGTGGGTTTCTGCCAGAGTTCCCCAGCTGGGATTTGGCAGGAAAGTTAAATGCTTTGAGGTATAGTTCCACAGCAGCCTAAATTAGCTAAGATCAGCACCTCTGTGTTGGTCCCAAAAGCAAAACTGTCAGAGAGGTAATTGCTTCAATTTGCGAAGAGCACTGGTACTACTGGAAGGGAGAGGGTAGGATGTGGAACAGGAATGGAGGAGGTGAAACTGCAATGGCATTGATATCAAATGGCTTAATAAAAGGTGATGGAGCCACGGTCTTTGCAAAGATGGTGCCTGCACGAGTCCTGCTTCCTTGGAAACTTGGGGCAAGATGGAAGCACATTCACTCACACCATGAAAACCTTCTCTCCATACTTAACCCTTCCTTTCCTTTCCTGGCTCTGTATGTAACCTTGGGGGTTCAGAATCTGCAGAAAACAAGTCATGTTTCTCTGGTTTACACTAAGGATGTGATACTCAGCTCATCTGAGGCATGTGGATCCCAGCTGGCTTGAAGCAGGCCATCTAAATCCTGCCCATCCAGGTCTCCAGTGATTGATGCTCAGGTGTTCCAGCCCCAGGATACTGGATCTGAGCCCACACCTGAATCTGAGGTTATGTTCCTCCTTACAGTTTTGACTCCAGGGAAGGAGTAAGATGCGAGTTGTGGTTTAAAAGGCCATCAGGCACTGACTCAAAGTTGCTCCTATCATGACCTCTATCATGACTTATATTCTCATGTGCACACAGACTTTGTGTGTGTGGCCAGAGTCCCCCTCTGCTTCTGAAAACATTTCCACAGCCCACTGGCTATTCCCACAGATGGGAAGGGCAAAAAAGGATAGAGTTAATGGAAAAACATTAGTAAAAACCTATCAGGAAAGCACTGGGAATATATCAAAGGTAATTGAGCTGCTGTTGTGCTTCATGGGACCTGTGCCGTGCCAGACACTCGTTGCTCTGTGCTTTGTTACGGCAGAAGTGCAGCTGCTCTGTTGCAGTCTGCATCAGCCATACCAGGAGACAGTCAGCTTCTCCCATGAGAACTGAAGGCAGGGGTCAGCCCTGGGGTTTGGGAGATTTGTCTCTTAAACCATTTTTACCCTAAAAATCAGTGCAGGTAAATCCAGGCACGGTGGCAGATGATGCTCGATTGTCACACAGTGACAGCAGTGCCAGAGAAAGGCTCTCTCTAGATCCTGACAGCTGTGGGACACAGCAGGGTGAGCTGTCCCATCCTGGGCCCAGCAGGATGAGGGTGGCTGGTTAGGAAGTGAGTGAAGGCACGAGCAGCCAGCTGGCTCTGCTGATTGTTCAGCTCTGTGGTCTGAGGACAGCATTCGATGCTGCCGTGCACCTGAGGGCAGCAGTTCCGATCCATGCACAAGTAACTTGCTGATGGGGAGACTCTTTTCCTTCCAGCACTGTTTTGCTTTCCATAGCTGCAGGCTCCCTCAGGCTGGCAGCCAAGAGCTAATCAACATATTACTGTCTACCACAGATGAGAAAATGTTGACAATTATTGTCTGAATTTGAGTTTGTCCATATTGTTTGTTCAGTGCCTGGCATGTTGTGCAGCATCACTCTTTTGCCCTGTGGAAGATTATGGCTGTCCCAGGTAGAAGGAAAGCTTTCAGGTGGTGAGAGGTAGGAAGGAGCTATAATAGATCAGGGTAAAACAGATACTCTTGCCATGGATGTTCTTCGTTCTTCAAACAAAGAAGGAAAATAACGTAAAATTGACTTTTCCTTACTTTCCTCTTTGTTTTTACTTGATGTCATGGCTGAGGGAAAAAATATTTCCAATACAAAAATATATTGCAGCTCTCCAGGTGATGGCCCTGGACACAGCCTGGGAAGCAGTGGTATTGTCTGCTTCCCAGAGAAATTCTATAAGAAACCTTGCTTGCTTTTTCCTCTCCCTCATTCTCCCCCAAGGCTCTCTGGCTGACTGCTTCCCTGTCACAGTCCTGAAGGAAGTTACCTTCCCTTCCCTCAGTCCTCCAGGAAGTCAAGGTGAAAGCCTCTCACCAGTTCACAGGAAGGTAGTGCTCTATTTCTGGAAATGATGAAATAAGGAAAGTCAGAGGTCCAAACACAGAACCTCTCCCCTGAGCATTTCCACCTAGATGGAAACCTGTGGTGATATTCAGGACTTTGCATTCCCAGACACTGGCAGCAGTTTCATACAGTAGCTAAAGCAGGAAAGCCCTTAGCAATGGCACTGTCCTCTGGGCTCTAGGAGCAGTCCTCACTGGAATGGAGGCCCAAGAGCTCCTCAGCCAAGCTGACGAGACCATTTTCCTCCAGGGCTGCGATCAGCCGCGCTATTGTGGCCTTCTTGCCCTCGGACTGGATGAACCTGAGGAGCATTTGGTAGGCTTGTTCATAGAGTCCCTCTCTGTCATACTCCAGTGCCAGGTTGTCAATGGCAGGGTCACGCAGGGCCCGGCAGGATTTCTGCAGAGAGCGACCCACTTGCTTCCACTTCTTGGACACGGACTTGGCAAACTTCTGGTGGTCATCTGGAGTGATTGTTCTGTTGTCTGAAAGGGGCAGAGGCCAGGTAAGACATAAAAGTTTCATGGCTGATGTGATGCAGCTTGGGCCAGTTTAAGGTTTGGTCAATATTCTGTGGAGCAGGGAGTCTGAGCTCCCTGCCTTGCCCAGCTGCTCCCTCACAGGAATCCTCCCACAACAAACAATGCATCTGGGCTTGCCCCTACCCTGCAAGCTTGGCAAGGACTGTTTTCTTTTTTTCTCCCTCAGAACTGTCCTGTGGTTTGCCAGAGCTCTTTTTTTTTTTTTTTTTCAGATAGATGCCCTCTTCATTTGTTTTAGCCTTTCAAAGGCAGCTTGGTAAGGCCTCTCTGACAAAATACCCTGTTCCCTACCCAAACATCCTCACAACACTGAAATGCTGACAGGAGCTCTCTCCTCAGCTGTTTAGCACTGGAGACTATACACAGCTTAAGCAAGCTCCAAACTCATCTAGCTTATCTCAAGCTGATATTGCTATGTGAGACTCTCTGAAAGCTCTCTATAGGGACAGACCCCAAAGCCAGCTGGTGAACTAAGGGCGCCTGGACGAATCAGCCCTGTCTGAAAGCAGGGCTGAGGGTGTCCACAGCAACTTCCCCAGTCTGATCCAACCTACGCTATTAACTCACCTCAACCAAGTGACATGGAAGAAGAGAAAAATACTCTATAGTCTTCCTTTCACTATTAATTTTAAAATGAGAGGAACCTTGAAGGGACAGAGACTCTGAAACACCTGGTTCTATGCTGCACCAGAAAAGAAAATAGGTTGAGGCCTGATCTGAAGCACCATGGCAATATCTTAGGACTACGCCATTTCCTTTCTTATGGGATGCTGGGAAATCCTTGGTTTATCTGAGGTAGACCCCAATATATAGTCATAATAATTCTCCCTCCTGGGCTGTGAGGCAGACCAAGGGCTCTGTTGGTCAGCTCTAGCTACTCACCAAACTGCTGTCCCTGAAAGATGAAGGTGAGTTGTGTGGGAAGGGAGCTGCTTTGAGGAGGATAAGGCTGACATGGGGACTTCAGAGATGAGCAGTCTTTTCCAGCCACATTGTTGTTGGTGCTCTGGTGAAGCATCAAGCTCTTGAGGCATTCCTCCAGCTCTGTGATCTCCTCATCTGGCAGACGGTCAGGCTGTAACGCAAACAGCATCAGTGACTCCTGCCAGGGCCACCACCCTGCAAAGCCATGTTTGCTGGTGTCAAGAGAGGAGCAATGAGATATAGCATGAGCTGTCAAACAGTAAAATGAGGTGGTCTAATGGAGCTCTGGCTGTAAATGTGTGGATTTGAATTTGTAATGTGATATGAAATAGACAATCTCTCCCTGCTGGGTTTCTCACCTGCAGCAGTGAGTGCTTACAAGTTGCATGAAATTGCTCCTAGTCAACGTTCACTTCCAGCAGCCCTCCACAAGAATTAGGGTGCACTGTGGGCAGCAAGGCTTCTCCCAACTCCACATGAGGGTCAGACCCACAGAACAGGGTGACCTGATGCAACAGCTCGTGTGGCCACCCAAGCAGGCAGCTCCTGTTACCCACCTTCTCTCTCTCTCTCTGCCCTTCTGCTGCCTAAGGCTTGCTCCTGGGTCCTCACCAAGCCAGTTTCTTCACTAGCCAAGAGAAAATTAGTCTAACCTCCAAAAAGCAGGTAAAGAGAAAAGAAGTAAGGAAGGCAAAGCACATGGAAAGAGTCAAACCTGGCAGTGCTGTGCCTCAATCAGAGGCAAACACTGGTTTAGCTCACTTAGAGCAGCTACCCAGCACTGCTCTCTGCTGCTGAAGGCTGTGCCCTCAGTGCCATCTTTCTGCCTGTTGCACTGTTAGGCAGGGGTCAGACTGAGTCACTTTTGGGGCACTGAGAATAAGCCCATTTCTTTTGTCCAATCAGCTAGTTCAGCACATGGAGTGAGCAGACAGCTACAGTTCACAGGGTATGGGTATCACACGTTTGGTTTGGGGATGAAAGGTTTGATTTTCATTCTCTGTGCTTACAGAGAGCAATCTGGCAAAACATGCTCTTGTGCCTAATATTCCTGAGTAGATACTGGGTACCTGTTTCTCAGGACCATTTAGAGGAACCTGAACTAAAGTTCCATATTGAAAAAAAAGAGGAGGGGAACAAGTCAGTGAGTTTAATCATGTCGAGTGCCTTGGAGTGAGATGACAAGATCTCACTGTTCTTACAAGCAGGATTAGAGTGCCAGTGCCAAAGTGTGCAATGAGCCAGATGTCAGGTGAGACTTTGCCTTCAGAAGGACAGCCTACTTCTGCTGGCAGCAGATGCTGTGTGTCCTCACTCTGACACAAGTTTTTGGTGTGATGTGCAGTGTTTGCACTCACTTGCATTGCTCATTTCCAGGTGCAGTTACCTTTGCCACTCTGGGAGGAGGTGGTGTGTGAGGCTGGGGAGGGAATTGCAGAGCAATGATGGTTCCACCCAGGACTGCTCCTCTCTGCCTGCCTCACAGATGTACTGAGGCACACTTGTGCTGTCAGCTGCACTGTCTGGAGCTCCTTGTCTTAGTGGGGATAACAGCCATGCTAGCTTTAATACACAGAAGCTACAGTGAGTTAGCAGGATCTTTGCAGGCTGCTTTAGGTAACTCTATTGCCCTTCCAGAAAGGTGCACAGCTCTTTTCTGAGGAAGGGCAGAACTATTTTTCCACATTAGAGTTATGAGATGAAGGAGAGAGGAGTTTGTTAACACAACATGCTGCATCAGAACAAGATTTACACCCACCTTTGCAAGCCCTGTGCCACCCCTCCTCATTGCTGTCCAGCCTCCCCCCGTCTCCCGCTCACCTTTTCTCTGTAGATGTACTCCAGGCAACGATCCTCATCCTTCAGCATCTTGTCAAGGTGCTCACTGCCAGCCTTCAGCTCCACTTTGAGAGGCACCGTGGTTGTGGCCAGGGAGAGCTGGAGGTGACTCTGGAGGGAGTTCTGGAGCGCTCCTTCCCGGTAACTCCGCAGGAAGCGGCGGCAGTTCTCCTGCTTGCAGAACTTGAGCTGGACTATGAGGTGTGGGTGGCTGCAGTGCACCTTGAGCATGTCCACACCATTCACACTGCCGGTGGAGTCTGGCAGGGAGAAGGGAGCACAGTCACAACCCAGGTGTGAGCCAGCCCACCCACACCCACACCCATCCACAACAAGCCTGCAGCGGAGGAGCTTTTGAATTCTCTTTGTGATAAAGTCCTCTGGGATGGAAAAGTGTGTTAAATCAAGAGGGAAGGATTAAGTTCATGCTGCCCTGCCACCACTGATCTCCATGAAGTATTGTGTCCAACTGAAGATGTATGGAACTACATCTCAGGTAATTATATCAACACTGATTATTAGGGCAAGTTTTAAATTTGAGGTTCCATTTCTAGGGCAGAGATGGTTATGATAAACTGGTAGCACAGCAAAGTTTTATAGATGAAAGCTCAGTTCAGCTCAGCGCTCAGACAGCGTTTAGACCTTGTGTCTGGAGTTTTATGCAAAGACGAAGGTCCTGGAAAGAAACCCAGTGTTCCCTCTCCAGCCTGTGCCTAGAGGGAACGTTTGTCTCTCTGAGCCTTTAAAACATCTCACAAACAACAAATGACAGATCCAGACACAGGGATTAAGCTGCTTGAGATTGGGCCTTGACTTGCTATTTTGCACAGAGAATTAATTCATGGTAAAATCTCAACAAGGAGAAGCCAGGGATGTACCCTCTAACATTAGTGTAGGAGGAGCATGAGCAATGTAGAAACAGAAAATTTCAGGACTTCATTCTTCCTTCTCCCAGCAGAATTTAATTTTAATACCTGTGCTCATTATACTTGTCTCCACAAGATTTTATATACTGATGATGAATTCTAAGTATGTGTTTTTCTCTTTTTTTTTGCTGCAGAGGCTTATGTGAGCCTGCTGTAGTGTTTCCAGACCTGACTGAACCTCGTGGGCTGTCAATGCATAGGGCTGTATGGAGGCACCAGCTCACACTGGCACTACATCAGGTATTTCTAATCCACATGTCATGGCATGAAGGACAATCTTAAGGCAAGACAGACTTGTGTGCTCCACATTAAGCAGGACAAGTGACCTTGCATTTAAAAGGATAGTATCTAACAGTGGCTTTACATGTTTACTAAGTCCTGTTCACATCTGGTCTAGTTTGGACTAGATGTGTAATTGACACATAGGTTTAGGCACCTAGAAAAGACATTTTAATTCACTGTGGATGATTTTTTATCACTTCCCTCATGCTTTGCTTTTTATGAGTGCTTATTAAATAAAATTTCCATAATAAGAGGGCAAGAGGGCTGGGTAGGGAAAGCTGCACAGACATGGAAAACTTTATGAAGAGTGCACAAGACAGCTGTAAAGCTGCCTCAAAAGACAGGACCTTGCAGGCATTTCTTGAGGCATGAAACCTCAGACAGCTTAAGATTTCACGTCCTTTTCAGGTTTGAATAAGCATGGTAGGATTTCAGTTTTGTGAGCTGTCCTTTAAATGTGTGTGCAGATTCACATTCCAGTGCCACAAAGCAGCCATAAATCAAGCCTAATTGGACAACTGTGTACGGCTGCCTGCTTCCTCTTTCCCATATATGGAATGAGCTGCAAGATGGGCAGGCCTGTATTGGATAAAGTGATTTGGCATGATTTCCAGAAGAAACTGCAGAGTAGTTAGACAAGCCCAGTTAAACAATAGAGATTCAGCTGTGTGACAGGTAAAGAACACCACGACAGTTTTTCTAGGTAAGTGTGATAAACTCTTCAAATGACTACTACTCTGCAGTGTGCTTGGTGCAGTGGTGGATAGAGGGATACACAGTTTTATGGCTATTTGCATCTCAAGTAATTTTTTGATGTAAATAGATTTACATACACCTCAAGCTAATGTTTGTCTGTTTATATTAGAATTTGAATTATATCAGAATTTGGATAGAAACTAATTTATACTGGCTATCACTTGATTTAAAAACCAGTTCCTCAAAGCAGAGATCATATTTCTGTGGTAGTATAAAGACAGCAATTAAATCTTCTTTCATAGTAATTGCAATCTTTTCCCCTCTTACATAAATGGGTTTAAACAAACATTCATAAAGTTGGATAATTTGTAGGATGGTTCAAGTTGGAAGGAAGCCCAGGCAGTGTCTAGCCCAACCTCCTGTGCAAAGCAGGGTCAGCTCTGAGGTCAGATCCAGTTGCTCAGGGCTTTATCCAGTCCCATTTTGAAAGCCCTCAAGGATGGAGAATACACAGTCACTCTGGGCAACTGCGTGACTGTCTTAACGGGGAAAACATTTGTCCTTCTATCTGGTGTCTACCTCTCATTTCAATTTGTGCCTGTTGCCTCTCATTCTACTATATGCACCACTATGAACAGTGTGGCTCCACCTCTCCCTCCCATAGGTATCAGCAGGGTTTTGGTAGGTCCCCTGAAACCTTCTCTTCCCTACGCTCAACAGGTCCAACTCCCTCAGCCTCTCCTCACAGGACAAATACTTCAGCCCCCAACCATCTTGGTGAACCTCTGTGGAGCTTGCTCCACTTTATGGCCCTTCCTAAACAGAGTGAGCATGAGCTTTCCTTACCCATGAAGGTGAGATTAAAGAAAGGCATGGCACTGCACACCAATATGCCAGAGGATGGATACCTGCTAATGCCAGCTTCAGGGCCTTGAACACACAAGGCTTCTTCTGGGAGCTCTCGTAGAGGGACGGCAGAGCGATGGTCTTGCAGGTCGATTGAAGGAAGAGATAAGCACTGCCAATCCAAGGAGTGGAGCTGCCTGCCATCTTCAGCACCCTGCAAGATCACACAGACAAGCTCAGACCATAAGGCCAATGGCCTGATGCTGGGGGAGTGCTACAGCACAAGCACCACAGACTTACGGGGATTTACTCTTATTTCTTAGAGGAGTGCTGATGTTGCTAAAGCAATTATAACCTTTGAGGTGCTTACTGTTACTCTGTAAAGCACACCACACTGGGACACGGTATCCCAAAGACAGCAGCTTACAAAGCTTTGCTTTCATTTTCCATTGGAGTCCATTCATTTTATAGTCCAAAGATACTCTGGAGTTTCAGCCCCTGTGCCTCTGACTGACTAGCCAAGCTGGCAAAATGTGAAATGATTGAAGTGCTCCAGAGACCACCCATTAGTCCCGCCTCTGGCACGTTCCCATGGACTGAAGCCCTATTGCATCCTTAAGGTCCTGGTCCCTTGGTTGTTCACAGGGCCCAGAGCTCTTGTAACAGAACATTCTACACAGGACAAGGGTAATCGTTTAAAACTAAAAGAGGGTAGATTTAGATTAGATATCAGGAAGAAATTTTTTACAGCGAGGCACAGAGAGTGATGGGTGCCTCATCTCTGAAAATATTCAAGGCCAGGTCAGACCGGGCTCTGAGAGAGCTGATCTAGTTGAAGATGTCCCTGGTCACCACAGAGGAATTGAACTAGATGGCCTTGGAAAGGTCCATTCCAACCCAAACCATTCGGTGTTTCTGTGACTCAGGGGTACCCCTCTGCTTTATGTCCTTGTGCCTCTGCAGCGTTAACCCAGCGGGTGAATCTTCCCGTCCAGCGAGCACTGCCCCAGCACAGTCCCCGCTCCGCGGTCACACAGCTGTGGGCTGCTTAAAAAACTCAGCCCCGGCCCGTAAGTCACACTTCTGATCATGGTTATTGCCTTTTCGCTGACTTCTGCAGCGTCAGGCCGCTGCTGCTCAATTCCAGTCACAACCTCGCTGGGACGGGGCTGTCCTTAAGGGAAAAGCGCTGGAGCAGCCGCCAGCCGCGTCCCGCCGGGCTGTGCCGCCCGTGGGCCCGGCTGTCCCCTCGGAGCCCGGCTGTCCCCCCAGTCCGGCACCGCCGAGCGCGGCCCCTCCAGCCCGGCCCTGCCCCGCGCTGTCCCGGCGGCCCCGGCCGGCCCCGCGCCCCCTGCCCGCGGCAGCTCCGGCCCGGCGGCCCCGGGCGGCTTTACCTCCTCACCGCCGGCCTCGGCCCCGACACTTCCGCCCCGGCGCGGCGCCGCTCCGCACCGCGCTGCGGGCGGGGAAACGGGAGGGCGAAAATAATCCCAACAGCCCCCTGGAATGGCCGGCGGTATGGCACTTCCCTGTAATCCCTTCTGTTTGTCCAGGCCTGCCCGAGCCGGTGCCGGCCCCGAGGCCTGCGCGGGGCAGCGGCTGCTGCGGGGAAACCCCGGCCGGGGCTGGTCGGGCCTTGACGCCCCCGGGTGTCCCCGCCGCAAGGCCGCCCACCCAGCTCGGTCGCTTGGTGTCTCGTGTAGGTGAGGATATGACACCTGCCAGGAAAATGAATACACAAACACCAGAGGTTTATGTCCAAAAAGGAGACAGAGGAGTTCTTTTCACTTTATTCGAATAAAGGGAGAGGCCATGGGGCATTCCCCTGGGGTCTCTCAAATTTTTGGAGGACGCAGTCTCCTTTTTATCCTAATTTCCTGGCCGCTTGTCCCTTCTCTCTTTCCCCATAGGCTGAGGTACTTCAGAGGCACAGACTTCCCACAATACCTAAGATTTCCCCTCTAATGTATAACCCTCCTTCTTAATTCTTATGGAATTTATGGCTTTCCCCATTGTTTCTTTCATCTTTCAATGTCCAATTTCATTTATCAGCAAACATACAGTTTGTTTGTAAAAGCAAATATATTTTTTTCCATTCATCAATCAGTGGAATCCTTCCCATTGTTTCTTTCATCTCTCAGTGGTAGTTCTATCTACCAGCAGACCCACAGCTTGTTTGTAAAGACAAATCCGTCATTCCTCTCACACCTGTCAGAAGTACTCTGTTCAGGTGGCTCCAGAGCTGCCCGAGGGTTGGGATGTGTATCTTTGGACCATTAGGGCAGCAGTCAGAAGGCTAAAAGCACACTCTTACTGTCTGTGAGATTCACAATCCTTCTTAATGGCTCCAAAGGCTTTAAGGAAATCATAAAACAAAAGGAGCTGAACACACGAGACCTCATTTTGCCTTAACGCTTTGGCAGATGTGTGTTAGAGACAGCATTAAAAGCAGCTAAAAGTGGAAAAGCAATGTCCGAGCTGCGAAGGTGATTGTCAGAGAAAATGGCAGAAGATGCTGAGTTCCCAGGAAGGAAGCAGGACGGTGTCACTTGGCTGCTGTAGCCGGGCTGGGTGGGAAGGGGTTGTCGCTGATATGATGGTAGATAAGATAGCACAGCTGCTGTGCTGCTGCCTCACACTCAAAGTAAGGAGTCACGCTTCAAAGCAGCATATTCTAAAAAAATCTGCAGTTGTATTCCCTCCTGCGTTTCGCTTTTTGCGTTGCTGCTCCATACTTGCTTCATGGATTTCACCTCTGACCCTGTTTTGAGGCTCTCTTCGTGCATGGGCTTTCATTTGAATGAAACCTGTGCTGCTGAGGTTATGCTGTGGCTCTGGGACCTGGGGCTTCTACAGCGAGAGGACATGCCATGAAATTCAGAGTGAGAGTGTGAGACCTGGCGCACACTCCAGTGCTGGCCTGGGAAGGGGAATGTTTACTTTTAAAAATCTCTTGCTTGGTTATGAGAGGGCTGAAAAAACATGTCATGGTGGTAGTTTTGTTTGTGCAGAAATCAAGAAGAGAGATGCAACACATTTTGGAAGAAGGAAAATGGAAAAGTTAAGTAATGATCTGATGCTCTAAACCTTCTTCCCAGGCACTTATTCTTCTGCATTATAGTTCACAGGAAAGGTTGATTAAAATACACTTTTCCCTTATTGTGTCAGACATTGTAAGTGCAGTTTTTGCAAACTGGAGTCAAGGTCAAAAAAGTTTTTTTTTTCCAAACTGCAAGATCTCATCACAGGCAAGGACCACTGTCATTAAGCTGCTGGTTTCTACTCTAGGCCTTCTGTTGCACTTTCAGTAAAAAATGGATATGTGAGGCTGTTTTCTGTGCAGAGCTTCTGCTTGCAAAGAGGTTTTTCCCCCACAGTTTGAGAAATCTGTCTCAGCTTTTTGAATACCAGTGCAGCAGTACCAGAAAATTCCCTTGCATTTTTATTACTCAGAGTAGCAAAATCTCACTGTAGGAAAAAAGACCTTTTTTCCCCCCCAAAAAATATTTGATCTGACATTTTTAATTCTTGAAAAGTATCACTCAGCTTCTTAGGATTGATTTAAAAAAACTGTGAAACAACTGACCAAGAGATTTGCATAATTTTTTAAGTTCAAATTCAAAATATGGTGAAATTTCAAGTTTGTTTTTTTAACCTCCTCTGTAGTCCAGATTGATTTATTAGTTAAATCCTAATGTGTATCTCTGTCCCTTTTTTTCTGTTTCATTTTTCTCAACAGGAACTCTTGAGAATGAATTGTAGTTTTGGAAGTTTTCCCATTTTTAAACCTGACTGAATTGGCAAAATGTCTGCTCCAGTGCCAGAACTGTGGCATTACATCCCAGAAGAAATCCTTGTCTGAATATTTTATTATCTTTCTCTTTGAGATGGACACAGAGTCTTCCAGGTATGCAGACAAGGGGCTGCAACTGTTCCTTCCAGCTCTGTTTGGCACTTCACAGAGGCCAGCTGAGAGGAACGGGGTCCTCTGTCCAAGCACCTATGCAGGAATAACCTGATTGTTATTTCCAGTGCACGTCAAGCATCTACTCCACTCTGCTGTGGCACTACTGACCTTGTGACTCCTATGTGTGATGATGTTTTCTGGCATGACTAGCACCTGCTTACATAAAATTTGTGTTACTTGCTGGGTTTTGTCAGTCACTAATGGTGATTTGGGTTTTAGGGGAAATACCACATTCTTAGGTACACTGTCCTAAGTTGCCCTTTGAAAATGGCAAGAAAAAATTAATGCATTGTTATCCTTATTGTGACACTTATCTTGTCTCTTCTCACCTCCTGACTCTTTCAGTGCTTGGCCTTAAAAGACTCTGTAGTTATCAGGTGAGAACTCTGCTTCATTTTTTAGCAGGAATGTTGAGCTTTGCAAGTTTTTGCTAAGGACCTCAGGAAAATTTATTGTTGATTTTATATTTTATTAGTCACTTAAAGAGCAGTTTCTGAGTTGAAATGACCTTGATATTAAACCACATATATATTTAGAGCTATCTAAAGCTTTTATATTAATGATAAAATCATATTGTCTAATAGATTCTATGTGTAGCTGTTTTTAGCATCCTCTTTTCTCACTCAAGAGCAAAATAATTTCTGTTGACAAATAACATAGTAGCTAAACCTGCTTACAGTTTTGACTTTTCAAAGTTTTGCTGAAGATGTACAGCCCTGAGTCTGGCCAGCTATCGTTCATCTGTGCCAGCCAAAGTTTAGGGCAAGAAAATTCCAAAATAACAACCCAGGTGCCTTCACAAGCCTGGGATTTCTGCGCCTGGGTGTCCCACAGACTCTGGGCAGGTGGGTTTTCTCTGGTGACTTGCTCACCTCCCAGCATAAGGTGGGCAGCACGTGTTCCCTTTGCATGACGCTGCGTATTTATTCACAGCTCTGCGAGATCGGCTGCAGTGCATTTTCATTCTGTGTATTGTTCTCTGGGGCTGGTGATGCCATCCCATTGTGCTGAGTTTTTAAGAGTGCGAGCAGCACTGCTGATGTGACTCCCTGGACGCCTACTTTCCACTGGCCTGGGATAAAATTGGGTGGTTCATTCTCTGTGGGACGCAGGCGCGCCCAGGGCAATGGGACCAGTTTAGCTGGGACACTGCAAAGCTATGCAGGATTCACCCAGCTCTCTGGTGATGGATGGATACTCCAGCAATGTCCCAGCCTTCCTAACAAAACTCTGGACGCTGGTGGAAGACCCTGAAACAAACCATCTCATCTGCTGGAGTTCTGTAAGTACAAAAGATATTGGGTGTCACTAATGCCTGCAACCACAGGGAAAACCCAGGTATCAGGCCCAAGAGCTGCATGGCACAGAAGCTGCCCTGTCCTTGGCAGGTGCTGCCCAGTTACTGGCAGAGTGCAAAAAACAGGATTCAAGTACAGGAACTTTTGGATATACTTGGTATTATTTATCTGAAATATTGTGGCTTTTCTGTTTCAGAAGGGCAACTGTTTTGTGGGTGTTTTAATTATAGTATTTACACATTTCACTTGAAACATGCAAAAAAGTGTCTAATGTTCAAATTCTAAGAATTCCACATGCTTTGAGAGAAATGTTTTTCACCTTGCTTGAATCTGCAGCTCCCTGACATTTGTCAGGAAATGTGCAAAGCCCTTAAAAAGTTTCACTGCTGTTTTGAAAAGCAACGTGTGTTTCTTAGCAGCCTCTCACAAATGTCTAGTTAGAAGGCAGCAGATAAAAAACACTCAGAACTCAGACTCAAATTTATAATTTAAACAGATCTCAGACTGGCACCCTAAACCATACTGGAAGATCTTTACCTGATTTTTCAATGAGACTGTGTGATGATCATGGTGATGTGGGTATATATTGTCTGTACAGCTTCATAGGGATTGATTACTTTGCTTTCGCTTCTTATTTGTCACAGGGGCACTAATACACTAAGTGCAATCACAGAAATAAAATGATTTGTCCCCTTCATACAACATTTTGATACCACATTGTGATTTTGACCTAAGACTTGCTGTAAATAACATGATTTGTTTTCAACAGGGAGTTATTAGACAAACTGTTTGCATAAATTTGTTCTCCAAAATCAAGAATATGTAACACAAGCAAATTTAAAGGGGGTGGTAAAAAAAGTCTAAAGCAGCCTTTCTTACATACACTTTGTGTCCAGTAGAATTTTCATTCAAAACCTGAGACAGGATTTGAGCTGCATTGATATCTGTGACCATGGTTGTTTGATGCTGGTATTACATGGCCATACCTCTGAAAAGCACCACGTTTTGGAATCATGTGTTTTAAATAAGGATTTTAAAGCTAGAAACTGTTTTCTAATCTGTGTAAATAGTCCCCTCTCTGTTACACTTGGAACACTGTTATTTTTAACTGACCACCACCATGCTCTGCTTTCCTGCAAGCTAACATAGGCTACAACTGCATCCTTGGAGGATTTGGTAAGGCTTTTAAGTGTCTAATTTTTCTGTTGTTGCAGGTATCCATGTTACTTATATTCTTCAGGTTCTATACATTGGTGATGTTGGAGCAGAGAGATTGTGTGCATACCTAAGATTTCTGTGTGTAATCAGTCCTTCTAGAAAACAGGACCCATAAGGACCTGTGAACTGTTTCTTAGCATGAAAAAAGAGATGGAGAGGAAATGCAGTAATGGTTTATATATACACTAAAGTGTGTTGTAAGGTGGAAAAGAAAGGTCTGCTCTCTGTGTCTGTGGTAGATTGGGAAAGAACTAATTCAATTAATTTTTTAAATGGAAGATGCAGTAAGGGAGAACTGGCAAATTCCTGGACTAGCACTTGTCTTGTCAGAGCACAACATGTCTGTCCTGGTGGTTCTGTCAAAAGCAGTTAAGATAAGCATCTGCCACGACTGTCATGCTGCAGAGTCAGTTTTGCTTTGAGCAGAGAAGACTTCCAGAGATTCTCCGAGCTTGTGCTCCCCTGGTGTAAAACAGCCAAGGCACAGCTGCAGTGTGGGAACAAACTGGCATATGCACAGTTCATCGGTGAACACACGGTAACCCCAAAGTCTTGTGTCTGTAGGAACCTTTCTGAGTGTGCCAGCTTCTGAGAACATTGTGGCCCTGAATTCAAAGGATTGGCCTCTCATGAGAGCCCATAAAGTGTTGTTGAGGTGTACAAAACTCCCATGCTTCTCATTTTACATCAGTGGGTCCAGCCTGGGACACACAGCTGTATCCCAGAGTAAAGGGACAGAAGCACAAGGGAAACTGAATAAACCAGCTCTGTCCCTAGGGCAGTGTCTATAGTGTTGGGAAACCCTGGTCCCTGCTGTCCTGTCTGCAAACTCTGTCTGTGAGGATAATTCAGCATGCAGGTTGTCAATGAATCTCTTAAGTGCTTGATCAGCCTTTGCTTCTGCTGCATAGGGTCAGGAATGATAGGAAAGACCCCCAAAATGGTCAAAGAGCACTGTTGAGGCACAGTCATGTTCAGTGTTTGCAGTAGCAAGCAAGGAGCAAGAAGTGCAGCTGACCCAAAGTCCCGTGTTGGTGAGTGTTAATTGTTAGAGCTGCCAAATGAGCCTGAGCACAGAGGCAGCTGGCACCATTTGCTGATGGAAATGTAGTGTACAGCAGCAGGGTTTGCCAGCTGGCTGGCTTCTGGTGGCCATGGGCAGGCTGCAGGCACACACCAGCCCCTCTTTAGTCACTGAGCTATCTCATGGCCCTGGTTGTACTCCCTCTTTTAGAGACTTCCAGACTTCCCTGAGTGCACCCTTGCTGCTGCAGACCCCCTGATGGGTGCGAGGTGAGACTCACTTCCTAGTGCACACAGAGCCTGAAAGCTCTTACAAAACACTGCAGCCCCTGTGGAATACCTACCCAGGCTGACACACCTCTGACTGTTGGTAATTGCACCAAACACAGCAGGAGGATGACTGTGGAGTGCTGGTCTCAGACCCTTCCCTGCCAACATGGTGCAGGCTCTGCTGTCTTTAGCTCTTGTCCCTTGAAACTCAGCTGCAGCCGAGGCAAGTCCCTAATATCTGCTGATGTCATTGCACTGATGTAGCTGTCAGCAGGTAGAAGGCCAGGCAGGGAAAGCACATGGCCTCCAGTGCATCTTCTCTGCCAGCAATCTCAGGCAGTTTGCCTTCTTTGTCAGTCATGGGTCTTTGCAATGCAACCCCAGAAACTGAAGATTTATCTGATTAACATGTGTGTTTCTAGCTTGGACTGCAAAGCGTGACTATCAACATTTTTGTGGGTTGCTTTTGTGGCTGTTTACTATTAAAAATAATCAATAAAAGGTGTGTAGAGCTTCTAGGAAAATGTGGTGTCTCCCGAGATGATTTGCTTCTTGCCTTGTAATGTTTCTTGCGCCATGTCTCCGGACAGTGCTCCCTCAGGACTGCTGTGCTCTGGAGCAGATGGACTGTGGCTAGATCTGAACAAGTAGGTTATAATGGCAGGGGTTATAATGGCAATTCCCATTTTCATGGCCTTCTTACGACTTGAGTCTTTCTGTGAAGTCCATGCAAGAGAGGCTGATCCCAGACCACCTACCAGCTATTTGGGCACAAGTCAGTGGTTTCTTTCTCACGTCCAAGACTCTCAACTAAGCAGTGACAAAAAGTAGAAAATTGTCAAACCTGCAGCCACAGAGACCTGACTGTACCAGAACTGAAAGGAGCACATCTGTCATTGAGGGTTGTTGTCACTCTTAGCTTTAAGGTGACAGTTCAGAAAACAAGACCTCCCCTGCTGTAGGACTCCTCCTGGGCCCCTCTTGTGGTCAGGGATGCTCCCCTGATTTCATCTTTGTCCTTATCTCCTTTGCAGAATGGCACCAGCTTCCATGTGTTCGACCAAGGCCGCTTTGCCAAGGAGGTGCTGCCCAAGTATTTCAAGCACAACAACATGGCCAGCTTTGTCCGGCAGCTGAACATGTGTAAGTGTAGCTCCCAAGGCCCAGGACATGTGGGCCCCACAGATATGGGGGTGACAGGAGACATGGGAGAGAATTGTACAGAGAAAAGTTTGGGGTCTCATGTATATGACTTGTGGCATTATTGATTTTGCCAAAGAAGATCTGCCCCTCAGATCCCAGACTAGTGATCTCCTTGTACTTACCTTAAATTCCAGCATGGAATTTCTGAGATTACATTTCAGGTGAGCTAAGAACTTTCATCTACTAGGTGTTCTGCCTCTTTTGCAATGATTTGGTGACCTATTATTATTAATTTTCCATTTTATTCTGTATGGAGCTTTATCCAGCTGCCAACTGTGACACCTCCCCCAGAATGTGCTGCTCTTGTGGGCTGTGTGCCCTGAGCTTATCCCTTTCACCAGCCACATCACTGAACCAGTAACAAACACTTCTCCCTGCAAACCTTGCCTTGCTGATCAGACATTTTTACCCCTTAAAGGAGGTTTAGGTGTGATTTTCAGCCACTTCAACATGACTGTTCTGATAGTTCTTGGAATTTTTTAATTGAGTAATTAAGTTCCTTAGTCAAGTTTTAACTTTGATATTTCACTCTATAGTAGCGTTTTTGTAAATTTTAGGCCAGTCCTTAAATACAGCTTAGAAATCTTTTGAGGACTTCAAAGAATCACTCAAAGCAGATTTCCAAATGTACACATGACCCTTTTTTTCCAAAAGTGGTACCTGCTGATGGTCTGTGCCTTTGGAAAACCTTCTCTTGAATCCCTGTGGCTTGCAAATTGAGACAGGGTTTCCCTAAGCTCCTGGCAGACCAACGTACCCATGGCAGAAGCACTTTCATGGCATAGGCTGCAGCAGGGGTGGCCAGTGGGATGCACAAGGCTCTCTCTTGCCCTGGGTTTTGGTGGATATGGCCCAAAAGCATGTCCAGGTATGAGCACTGACAGCTCAGAAAGTGTGAAGGGTGATCAGAAATGTCCTCAAGAGTGATGAGGGTGGGAGGTGGAGGGAGTGCCCATCAGCCATATCCTCTCTGTGCAGACGGCTTCAGGAAGGTGGTGAACATCGAACAGGGTGGGCTTGTCAAGCCTGAGCGGGATGACACTGAGTTCCAGCACCTCTGCTTCCTGCAGGGCCATGAGCACCTCCTGGAGCACATCAAGAGGAAGGTGAGGGGCACTCTGTGGGAGGGGGGAACAGGCACCTGCCAGATCCTGCTCAGCATAACTCCAGCATCACCCCGGTCTTGTTCCTGTCCTCCCCACACACATGTGCACCTGGGCTGGGGGTTCTTGGTTTGTAGTGCTTGGCTTGCATCAGAGTTTTATCTGTGTTTTTCTGCTCTGTTGCTCTCTAACACAAGATGTTTGTGTAGTGCTGCAGGGCCAGGCTTGCTTCTCACCCCTCAGCCTTTGAATTGTTACTGCTTTCCTAGAGAAATATGGCATAAATCCTGCAGGGTCCTCAACAGCCACCTCTTTTTCTTATACAAGGACAACCTACTCTGCCTTCTGTTTTCTGACTTTTAACCTGTTATTAATACCCTCAAAGTGTTCTCTTACTGAATTAGCATAGCAACTTCTGATAAGGGACTTGAGCAAAAACCTTTTGGAAATCCAAGAGTAGTACATCAATTTGAAGCATTATGTCAGACACATCCCTGTATAACATGAGGCTTGATTGAGTATCTCTGTAGTCAAAGTAGAAAGATTAAATCTATCTAGAGCAATTCCTCCCTGATACTCAAAATACTTTTGTTTTCCCCCCAAGCTGATTTGAAATAGGTCCCTACTCTGACAGGGAATGTACTTCTTCCAGGAGACCCTCTATGAATAGATTTCTCCTGCACTTTGCTCTATTTGGCTTTTGCAATAATACTCCTAGGATAGTTCAGACTCTTTGGCATGTGGCCTGTCCTGGTATTTCAGCTGGTGACAGTCCTGCACCTGAGCCACCACCTCTCTCTGTCCATGGCCCCTCTTGCACAGGTAAAATCTACCTTTTATTTTTTTCTCCTCAGGTGTCAGTAGTGAAAAGTGAGGAGACCAAGCTGCGCCAGGAGGACCTCAGCAGGTTGCTATACGAGGTACAGATACTGAGAAGTCAGCAGGAGAACATGGAGTGTCAAGTGCAGGACATGAAGCAGTGAGTTGAATCCTACTCAGGCTGCTTCTTACGGGCATTTGCTTCTCTGGAGTGGTGGATTGTGGGGAATGGTTGAAAGGAGGAACCTTGCACACTTCCCTCCCCAGGGAGCACGTGGAGCCAGGGACTGACCAGAGATCTGTTGAGACAACAACATGTAGGGTTTCTATGCACACCTGATCTACAGAATATGAATTAATGCTCAGCCTTTCTGTCTCGTTTGTTTTCCCTTCACAGATGAGGAAAGCACAGAGAAGGTCAGACAGGAAATATGTGCATAACCTGGGGGACTTAGATCGCTATTTCCTCCAGATGGAAATGGTGATAAAGATGTAACTCTCTTGCACATACAAAAGTACTTGGCAGAAATTTGCTAGAGTCCACTCCAGATATTAAGAAATTACCTTTCTGCCATCATTCACCTCCAGAATTTGTGACTGGACTAAAAAATATAGTATATTATAATATAATATATAAGAACTTCTGTATCATTTAGTCCATAGACTCATCTCCCTGAGACTGTGTCATCTGACATGGCCAGAATTGTTGGGTAAGAGCAAACCAAGCTGATGCAATGCTTCCTGCATGTGGTTGCCTGACCTCCAGCTGTCTGAGACTCTGGGATTTTCTGACTCAGACATGGTCACTAAAAGATTAGGAAGTGGATATGGTTATATAAACCATGCAATTGGAGAGGCTTTTATTTGCCTCCAGAATTTTAATCTTTACAGAGAGCTTTGTTTAAAAAGCATTTGAATAATCAAATAGACCCAAACTCTTCTATAATGAGAATTCATTAATGATATTCATACACCACCAGATGACACTGTCATTCTGGGCCTTGAGAGAACTCTGCATTCTGGGAAACTTCATTCCAGCCCAGCACCTTACGTGCAATGGATACATAATTTTATCCTACATAATTTTTTAATGACTCCCACACTTAGCACATGCATGAGTTTGCACTGTGAAATCCAACTGCAACAGCAATGACTTTCTGGGTTTGCATTTGATTTAATTTTTAGGGAGTTCCAGTATTAATGATTTGGCCTTGATTTTAATTTATTCTCCCTTTTGATTTGCTTGCTCCCTCCCTCCATCTGGAAAAATTGCATTCAATTGATGAAAATAATATGACTTTTATAAACTGAGACAGAGGAGAATCCCAAGCTGAATCCCCGTTAAGCAATTTACACTGGTGAAGAACAATTAGGACATAACTCCAGTACAAGCTGTCAGACTAAGGAATGCTGCTTTGCTGGAAATCCTGTCAGTACCAGTACAGAAAGTTCACTGCAGAGATTCTTGCTGTATAAGTTGTTCTACTGTGCTCTTCAGATCTCTGGACTTTACCTTCCCAGTTCTAGCATCCATCCACACTAGAAAGACTAAAAAGTAAAAGGATTTATCAGTTTCACCTGTATGATAGGTTTTGCTGGCCAGTTTAGGTACATCCATGTATTCTAGAGATAGATTGCCGGACAAAACCTTTTGCAGCATGGACTCTCCATTCCACCTAGTGGGGCTGACTGTTAGAGGAAGCCTGTAAGCTCACCTCTATGCTGCTTCATTTACAGACAGAAAATAAATTTTCTTTATACAAGCTGGACACAGGTCTGTGCTGGGTTAGATCAGTGGCTCCTGCTAATAAAATCATTGCAGTCCTCCTAGTTCAAGGCTCTGAGATGCAGGAGCATCCTTTTATCTGCTCCAGTCACTCCCAAACATGCATTTGAACCACCACTTGTATGAGTTTTAAGCAGGTAGAATACACAGGGTCTCTGTTCATAGGATCTTGTCTTTGGGAGCACTGGTGCAGTTGTGGAGAGGCTGGGCTTTCTTGGCTCCCATGGAAGGACAGTCTGGGTGATCTAAATAGACACAGTCACAAATCAGGCCTTGCTGAAATTCTGAGTTTGGCTTGAATGTTCCACAAAAGCATGTCCTCTTGTTACCTTCGCCTGTAAATGTTGGCTTTTCTTTATCTGTTTTTCCTCCATTCTTTGATCTATAGTTCTTTTGAGGTCAAGGAAGAAAAAGGAAAGCAATTGTGTGACCTTGTTTGGTCCCTGAAAAGATCCAAACAATGCAAGAGCCCAGAAGTGAGACAGACTTTGCACAGTTGAATCTCCTGTGCATCATGGCAGTACCATGGGCTGTTTATGTCTCTGTTCTCATGGAAAATTTCTGTTTCGTTTTCAGGCAAAATGAAGTTCTTTGGCGAGAAGTTGTTTCTCTCCGGCAGAACCACTCACAGCAACAGAAAGTCATCAACAAGGTAGTAGTCATATAAACTCCAAACTCACTTGTACTGCCTGGTCTATGTCCTCCTCTGATCTTTTGTCCCATAATCTCCACACTGTGATATTGCAATGTAATTATCTTCCCTTTCTTTTAAACTGTGTGATGCTTTTATGTGTCCTATGGAAACAGGTCATTAACAAAGCACAGACAGCACCCTTAAGCAAAAGACTTTAATTTCCCTGACAGTCCTTTTTGTGATGTTAGAAACCACTTTTCTGTTGAAATCCTGAGCAAGAGAGCACAACTCTCACTAATTGCCCTGTGTTGGCTATGTTCTGTTTGTACCAATGCCTTTGGGCTTCCCAAATCTTCCTCTTCCATTTGTCCATGAGAGGAGCCCCACTCCTGCCAGCACCAGTGGAAAGCTGGAGGTGGCAGAATTGGCCACCCATTGTCTCACTTGGGGAATGTAACAGCAGCTATTACATTTTCTGGTGTTACTGGTATAGCTGAGGAATTAATGTACAACCTTTTAGGCTGCAGAACCATCTCCCTTAAAATCTAACATGACCAGTATAGAAAAGGCTCTCCAGTGATTCCTGGATGGTGCTGACATGACTGAGCACGTCACATACCTGGTCCCCATGTTCTGACCCTCACGTGGCATCACGGAGTCATAGGACTGGCCAGAAATGCACGAGGTTATCAAGCCTTCCTCCAGCTCTGACGCTGGACCAGCCACATGCTTCACAGAGCTTTTGTAGAGGCTTTTATGCAACTCTATTTTATTATATTGAGCAATGAGTAAGAGCCAGCTGTGATATATAATAATAATGCTCTCTTTGTTTGGAGGTCAAAGCAGAGCATTAAGTTCAAGCTGACCTGGGAATATGTTGCTAAGTGATTTCTCTCTAAAGCTACTCTGCTTCCTTTTTACTGTCCTGTTATATCAACACTGACATTTACAGAGCTGAAAAACTCAACTGAAAGAGCTCAGACCTCCATCCAGGCTCTCCATAGGGAGTTGCCTCTTTCACTTGCAAAGTCTTTGTCAGACTTTACAGCACCCCTTCTAAATGTCTCTGAAAACTTTAATGCATCCAGGTCTAACTCCAGGCCTTGGAATGTTTGCATGTGCACTTCACAGGTCTGTTAGGACCAGCTGAAGTTCTTTGTGCACAAAGTGGAGAGAGAAAGTGCTGAGCACATGCATCCAGGAATCTTTGCACAAAGCAGGCACCTGGCTGTGTCCCTTGAAAGCCTGGCAGGCTGTTTGAGTTCTTGGACAGCTCATTTCTGTTTTGGTCTCCAATGTCTCATGCAATTTGGCTCCTACATTCTATGGCTGCTCCCAGCTTTGGGGTGCTGTTGGGAGGGAGGAATGTGTGAGATAAGAATGGCTGTGAGAGCAGGGAGTGCTGAATCACTCTGCTGATGAACACCGGATTTTGATCTCTCCTGACAGCTGATTCAGTTTCTGTTTGGCCAGCTCCAATCAAGCCCCAGCAGCACTGGGATAAAGAGGAAGCTGTAAGTACCCGTGTGTGGTGCACACGCTCACGGGTGCATAATGCTGCCCCCTCACTAAAAGCACAAGCTCAGCTCGCCCAGGCAGGCGGTCACCGGACCAGGGCTCCATGGTGATGGGAAATGAATGGGCTGAAGTGCAGAGTCAGACCTGCTGACAGGCCCCATTCACTGCCCTTTAGAGAAGCACCGTGTCAGCTCGTGACCTTCATTTGGGGAACACAGCACGCAGTGGGACATGGGAGTGCTAACTAGGGCAAGGCTAAAGGGCAGGACCCCACTGCTGGTCCTACAGGTTCCAGTTTTCCACTTGTCATCTGTTGGAGCAGGGCTGGGCCCAAACAGCCCACAGACATCTTCAGTTTGACCTACAGTCACTGAGTGTGGTGTGTATCCACACTTGGTGGTGTTAACCTGCAGGCCTTACAAGGAGGAAGGTGGGGAAAAATTTTAGCTGAGGGGTATCTTTAGATAGGCTCTTCAAGGCAAGTGAATAGTGACTTGAATTAGGAAGCTTAGTGCCTTTCAGGAGAGCAGCTATGCCTTTCTTGCCTTGTGGTGCTTGTGATTAAAAGGAGGGAAAGAGACTTCTGAATGGAATTTGCTGAGGACAGGGACCTGCCTCCAGTTCCTACCTTTATTACCTTGTGGCCTTTGACAACTTAGAAACTTCTCCATGCTGCAGAGAAAGGAGCCAGACCTCCCATGAGTGACTCAAAGGAGTCAATTTTCATGAAGTCAGTGTTCTTGACTGACTCCTCCTGTGAGGGTTGTAAAGGCAATACAGGATTGAATGCATGAGCCCATAATCTGTACAAGCCAGCAGGGTATGTGCATCTCTCCCTACCCTGTCTGCTGAGTCTCGTGGAAGAGTTAAACACTGCAAGTAGCAAAGAAAAGGGCTCAAGGGGAGAATAGAAGCTGCTGAGTTGCTGAGGTTCATGACGGGAATTTTTCCTCCAGTAGCTTGGGCAAGCAGAGAAATGAGATGCCAGATCTGACCTCTAGTTTTCATGGTCAGGGCTGTGTCCTCCCTGTAAAAGCTTTGCAGCACAAGAAACGTCTTAGACAACTGGTTTTTTGTAAAAAGAAAAAAAATAATTAGTGAGAAAGTGTGCTGAAAAGGACAGGAGAGCACAGAACTACTTGCACAGCAACTGTTTTGACCCCCTTATGGTGAGGGATCACACTTCACACAACCAACTGCAATTTGCAAGGTAATTTGAGTTCCTGCTTCCTTGGAAACACAAAGGTCTGTCTTTCAGAAACCTCAGCTCTTGTGTGTATATCTGCATCCTTAGCGTTTTATCTTTCATGATTGTGTTTTCCTGCCTCTCTTCTAAATGGCTGCAGGAAAAGATGGTATGCAGCCTGGAGCTACTTGGTGCAGAGCAGAGTGCTGCCTGGGGGCTCTGGGTAGGTTTGCGCAGGATGGGCAGGTCTGCATCCTTCCCTTCTCTGTTTGTGATCTCCTCCAAAACAGTTCTTTGTCTTCCTTGCCCGTAACACCAGGCAAGAAAGACTCTTACAGCTAAGGAAAACCAGAGGACACGGGGGACAAGAGCTCTTGGCTGAGGGATGTTTTGTGTATGAGCAGCCAGGAGCCAGTCAGTACCTGCTGGAAGACAAAACTGTTTCTCTTCACAGGCCTCTGATGCTTGACAACGGGATCGCAGCTCCACCAGTGTCCAAGTTCAGCCGGCATTTGTCTGCAGAGCCCCTCCATGACCCCTATTTCATACAGTCGGTGGGTTCAGCCCAGCCTCTGAGCTCTGTGGGATGGCTTTGGCCAGGGGGGGAAATGTTTGAAACAATAACAGAGATTATGGAGTTAATAATTTGGCAAGAGCTTGGCAGTCAAGAAGAAATTAGGTTTGCTAGCTGGGTGACATTTAAAACTTCTTCAGCTCCCCAGTTTCACAGATGCCTTCATGAGGGAGGCCATGAGCTTTGGTGGGGAAAGGCAGACCCTACACACTGAACTCTATGTTGTTACCCCAGCCTGGTTCACCTCGAGGGAAGAGAGGAAGAAGTGAGTTCTAAAAGTGGGATTTTTGTAGCCTCTGAGGTGTCCCCACCGTCATCAGAGCAGACACCGAGCACTTCTGTCATGCAGTTAAATACATGAGCTGGCATGAGAGGCCCATACAGCCCTGTTGGATCTTTCCCTCCAAAAGAAGCTGAGCAGTCTAGGCAAAATGTCAGACATGGTGAAACCTCTTGGTTGCTGACACTTCACAGGGTTTATTTCACACCTCTACCTCTGTGCTGTTGGAGGAAAAGTGAGAGGAAATTATAATGTTGCATAGTAGGTAAAAGCTTTCTTGGTTTCCATACAGGGAGGACAGTGAATAAACCCTAACCATCTCAGATAGGGCCTTGGACTTGTTTTGGGGTCAGAATGATAAATCTGTATGACTTTTGCTTTCCTCTTAGCCATCGACAGAGCCTGCCTCTTGCTTAAACAGCCCTGCAATCACTGGAGGACCCATCATATCTGATGTTACTGAAGCATCACCATCCAACCTCATGAATATGCAATCCCCTCCTGAAAATGACAGGTAAACATGTTTGTGGTTAAAAATAAGGAGAATTGGGTATAAACATGCCTATGCAGCTCTTCTCTTGAGTTTTTTTGTGGCTGTAATTCTACCAAAGTTTCTGTCTGATTCACAAATCTCTATAGAGATATAGGATGGAATACTTTCTTCCAGTTTGCAAAGTGGGTCACATTTTTAGAGGCATATAATAACAACATAACTTTCAAAACAAAGTCCTGGGTTTCATGCTGAGAACTTCCACTCTGCTTTTTGAGAAATATTCCATGTTTCTTTATATTTTGTCGTCAAGACAGGGACTGTCTCAGACTTAATCAAATAATGAGATACTAACACTTGCTGGGTTTGTTGAAAGAGAGAAAGGAGGGTTTCCTTTGGCTTTAGCAAAGAAGAAACAATCAAATTTTACATCTAACAGCTAATGAGAACAGTAAGGTTGCATCACAACAACTTCCGATGTTTGACAAATTTTCTGTGAAAAGGCCCCAGTAACTTAAGAACTTAATGCAGAGTATTTTAATGCTTATCTCTTCCTGCCACAGACATGCAGTGTATTTAGGGCTGGTAGCAGAATAGCAAAAGCTATGTCAGTGGAAAGTAAGTAGACAGATGAATCATGGAAACAGTTTCTCAGGCTTAAAGGCAAGGCAGTTATACTCTAGAAATTGCCTGTAAATCTGTTGCATAATTGAAACCATAGCCGTAAAATTAACTAGAAGCATGTAAAGAGCTTCAGATTTAAAAAAAACAAACCTGGAAGCCATTTCCAAGGCAGAAAATCTTTAATATAACCTTCAAGTTAAGTTGCTTATTTCTACTAATTACTGAGTGCCATCTGGTGGCTTCTGATCTGTGCTGTGTCTGCATGACTTTAGCATCTGAGCCAGCCATGGCCCCAATCAGTTCAGGTGTGGTACTTCCTAAGTCAACTGCACTTCTGGTGGGAATTTAGGCCCCACGAGATGAGAAGATGATCAGAAAGGAATGTTGAGGAAAGCTCTGTAGTGTCACATACTTTCCCTGTTATCTCCATGCCTTTGTCACTTTGGCTCCAGCTGTGCAGGTTCACAAGGAGCTCTAAAGTCTCCTACAAGTAACGAAGGGTAGGCTTTTACACACAAAATTCTTCTAAACAAAACTTCATTGTCATTTGTCCACCTGGAAATAATGTGGTGTGCCTCTCCCATTGGAAAAGACAAATCTCTGCCTTCAACCAAGTAAAACATCTGACTATGACTGGCAGATCTCAGCAGCTTCTGTTCAAGTCCTGAAGGGCTACAAGATCCTGACCTGTGTCATTGGCATCTCTAGAGTGCTTGCTGATCCAATCCTAATTCCTGCATGGGATGGTCTTACTGATCCCATTCCTATCTCTAGGGTGGAGACTTTTCTTTTTCAGGGGAATCTCTCTAGCTCAGTGTCCCTTTAACCTGTCCATAACACTCACCCAAGAAATGATGAGTGCATAGAAATGTATTTTCTGTATTTGCAAAACAATTGAATAGGGAAAATTCATTATAGCTGTGACTGATGAAGTGACTGCAGATACTCCAGCTGAGCATGTTTCTGGAGCTTGCTGAAAAGAAAGAGGCTGCTGGCTTCATTTGCCCATCTGAGGAAACAGAAAGACCTTCTGGGGCAGTTTGATGGGCAGTGGAAGCAATGCCTTGTGCTCCTGCCCTTCCCAGCAGCATGAGGCCTTTGCAGAGCAGCTGTGTGTGGTGCTCAGTCGTGTCTCTGATGCAGGGAGAAGTGCCTCATGCTGATCAAGGAGGAGCCAGTGAGCCCTGGAGTGAAAGCCAGCGCGGAGCCTGAGGTGCCCCTGCCCGGCTGCAGGACCTGCTCCGAGCCCCCGGTGCTGCCGGTGGCCATGGTTCAGTCTGTCCTGGAGGGCAAGGGCAGCTGTGGTGCAGCCCCACCAGGGACATCCCAGCCACCTGAGAGGAGAGGCAGGAGGGCACTGCTGGACAGGTGAGGCGAGCCAGGGAGAGCTGTGGCCCTGCCTGCTCATGGCCCTCTCCTCCCATTCCCAGGGTGGGGAGGGAGGGTGACTTGGAGTAGCCAAGAGCAGCCTGGAGAGCTCCATCCTGTACCTGTGGCACCTGCTGGAGGACGACTCCTGAGTCCCAGGGGACAGTTCACTGAGGGAGGGGGCATGTGGATCACTTGCTTGAAGGAGCCAGCAGAGGAAGAGCTGTCAGAGGATGTGCATCAGAGCTGTGGGAGCAGGAAGAGGATTTTTGCATTGAGAGAGATTTGCCCAAGTGAAAGCTAGAGCCCAGACTATCTGTATCTGCAGGCCTGCACTGGACTGTGCTACACCCCTGCCCAGGGGACTGGCACTGTGATGTTAGGCTCAGCCTCAGGGTGATTCCAGTGAGCCACTTCTGGGGCTGTGCTCTGAGACTAAAACCCCAACAGCACCCATGTCATGGGGCAGTGTCCAGGAGGCCTCCCCTGCAGAAGGAAAGCATGGTGCAACTGGGTGGATGATGTGGAACTTAACTGCAGTTCATTCTTGGTAGCAACTGCAGCAATGTAAGGAGGACCATGAGGGAGGGGAACCCAAAACACCCAACAGGGTTATCAGAAAAGCTTCCATTTTCCTTTAAGTCCTTACAGAGAATAAAATTCCTCCTTCTGAACCCACTTGATGCTTAAAAACGTATTACTAGAAGAAAAAGAATCCTTTTTTAAAGACCTGATTTTAAGAGAAATTTTTTATAGCTGTTTTGGGGTTTAATCACAGTAGGGCCTCACTGTTGCTCATTTATCTGAATGTCTCTAGTAAATCAGCCTGCAGGGTAAATGCCTGCAGCTAAAAGTCACTCCTTTAAAGAGCGTTAGTTAACAGTAATTCCAGCATCTTGGGCCGATGAGAGTGGCAACACAGCCTGTTCTGGCTCTAAGTGCATCTCTAAAAGGATTTATTCTAAGGACAGCTTTAATTTTCCAAGTGTTAAGGAGATGGGCACAGACTATCCACCCCCAAACCACGTGTCACCCAGGAGAGGGATTGTCTCATCTCCATCTGCCCAGTCCCCTGTGTGCTCTGCCAAGTTGTACTCAGGGATTAAATCAAATTTTATGGCATAAGCCCAGGCTGACAGTGGGCCCTTGGTTTTCAAAATGAGATTTAAACATAAACATCCTTTTGGAAGGCTGCTCAGTCCTGCTTTCTGTAGGTTTCTATGCAAGTTTCCTTTGTGGCAATATTTCCCCTTGTGTTTTCTCAGAACAGATATTTCAGACCCGTTGGAGGGCACTGACTGGAGCCTGGAGGGGCTGCAGCTGCTGCTGAGGAGCCAGCAGTACAGCCTGGAGCCTGCCAGCCTCTTGGATGTGAGTGTTGCTGGGAAGGCTGCATCGAACAGAGCTGTGAAGTTCACTGAGGTTCCTCTGGGCTGTGAATCAGGTCATGCTGTTTGTTCTCATGTGGCATTTTATCTGCCACATGTAGCCTGTGGAGTCACAGCTCTGTTTTGACCTGCTCATAAGATTTCAGCTTTAAATTGTGCCTTTTTTATTTTATTTTATTTTTAATATTTGAACTTCTAGGAGCACAAAACACTGCATTTGGTGAAGAAATCAACATCAGACCTGACACATTTATGTAAAATAAATGTGTCAGGTCTGATGTCATAATATGACTCTCTAGCTAGTTTGTAGGGGTTAATTTATTTTCTGCATATTTTACATCTTAGATATTCCTAGATTGTGTATATGAAAGGTTTTTTGCCAATAATCAAATAACTCTATAAGAAGAAAATCTATATGTCAAATATATGTCCCCTTGAGGAAGTGCTTCAGATAAAGGCATCTTGTAAGCTTACATGGATAAACAGAATGAAAAGTCAAATTTTAAAAAAAATCAATCTTATTCTCTTCAAGTCAGTTCCCAAGTGTCTGTGCTTGATTCTGACTTTACAGAGAGCTTTGCTAATGGCCTGCTCTGTCACTGACTGTCGGTTCCTGTTTCTTGTTTCTCATTAGGAAGCGTTTTCCTGTTACTGACACACTTCTCTCTCTGTGCAACTAATGTCACAAGAGTGAGAATGAATCATGAAATTGGCCCCAGATCAACAGCTCCTTTTCCCAAATTGCTCCGAGTTCTCAAGAAATTGCCACCAAAGCCGTAATGCAACAGTAACCTGTTCTCTGCTACTAAATTCAGAATACTTTTAAAATAAGTCATGTGAATCTGGAAGTGTCCTAGGACTCAAGAGCAGCAGAAAAAGGCTTTGATTTTAAAACCAGCATCCTGGTTTGTGACAGGACAGTGGCATGGGGTGTCTGTGCTGTGCCTCCTCTGGCAGGCAGCAGCACAAATGCCCACAGCCCAGCCCAGCTGTGCTACAGGTCAGCACAGGAGCCTTTGTCTGCAGCTTCAGTGAGTGCAGGGCTGCACCCTCCAGCAGGCAGGGGAGGGCATGAGAATCTCAAACCATTACACCTTTCAGAGCCCTAACTGTATTTTTGTCCCAACAGGTCTTTAATCCAAATTTATCTCTGAGTGAGTGGAATTTGACTGAAATGGAAGCCAGTCTGTCCCCGGTAAGAGATGTGTATTTCTGAGATATGATAATAACAGCCATAGAACCCCAGAATGGCTGAGGTGGAAGCAACCTTAATGTTCATCCTGTTCCAAACCCCCTGCCCACTGCAGGGACCTCTTCCCCTAGGTCTCCTTGCCTAAATAATAATGGAACTGTGAAGCAGGGTTTGTGCATAACTGAGGAAGTTATTTCATAACCAGAGGGGAGAGTGGGCTAAAGCACAGCACGTAGGCATCTCCTGGGGGCAGCAGGAGAGTGTTGAATTATACTCTTGACCTGGTTTTCCCACTTAGCCAGGCTTTGTCTGGAGACAAGCTCTGACTGACTGTTGGTGTCCTGGAGTCTTTAATTGCAACTGGCTGCTCTAAACTTTCTCTGAGTGAGAATGTCACATCCTACTAATACCATAGATTTATAAAGTGTCTTTGTGCCAAAGCTCTTTATAAAATATGCCTTTACAAAGTGCAGCCATCCCTGTATGTTTCAAGAGCAGTAAAATACCATGCAATTAGAACAGAGGTTCCTGCATGCCCGTACATGAAGAACAAGGAGAAATTGTTTGGCAGTATTTGTTTGGAATTGATATTTACACAGACATTTCTGCAGTGCAGAAAGAGCAGGTTTAATAAACAGTGAAGGAAATTACAGGCTCGGAAGCATTAAGGTTAGAAGTGTATTGCATGGCTGGGTTCTTTCTCCTGTGTGACTGAAGGCTTGGATGGTTCTGCCAGATATTTCTAGAGATGCACAGGGAGAGTGTTATCTACTCTAATGAAATGCAAAAAGGCCTCTAGGCCTTCTTCATGATATCAACATCCTTTTTAGGTTTTAATAATTTTGAATTTACTAGGTAATTCCACTTCCTGAGTGTTAGGAATGAGAGTGTCTAAGATAATAATAGTTAGTATTAATTAGCAAGTCTTGGAAGCAAGGACTGTAACCTTTTTAAAAGCATTGCATGAGAGAAAAGGCCAGGAAAGGAGGCTGCAATGTTCAATAGTTCAGTCCTTGAGCCCACTAAATTTCCCAGGAGCTCTTGCTTGTCCTACAGAAAGTCATGAGCATGGAGAAGCCTGGAAGCAATGCATGCAGGAGCTCTGTGCCTAGAGCACTGTGTAAGCAAAAACTAGCTTCACTTAAAAGACAGTCATAGGAAAATGGAAAGAAAATCTCCTTCCTCTTTGTTTCTGGCTGTAGAGGACTGGGGTTTGCTTTGTATGGCTGCCATAGTGACACCAGCCTGGGCCTTCATGTGACATGAGCTTCACACCGTATTAGCCAGTGCTGAACTGGGGATTACATCTCCCACAGTCCTTCAGGCACATCTGCCCTTGAGCACATGGTGTGGCTGTTTCAGAGAAGTGCAGCGAGGCTGGGAGGAGAGGCCGGGCAGGGAGGAGAAGCTTGTGTTACTGGTGGGTGTTGTGCCGTGGGGTGAAGCACCGGTGCTCAGACATGGCCTAGTTCTAACAAGCTCCCCTGTCTTTGTATAATTGTACATTGTAGTTTATATTTTTGCATCAAGATGCAGCGACTCACAGTGGATCTGGAGAAGAGTGCAACTGAGCTGCCCTCAAAAGTGTTCAACCCACAATTCAACACCACCTGCCCAGGTAGGAGCACCAGCAGCTCTGTGCACTTGGCAGTGTGATGTCTTTCAGGCAGCCAGATATGATGTCCAGCATTGAGAGATTGCCATTTGAGGGAGAAAACCACGTCTGTCATTTTACTTTTGTGATTGTCAGTCAGCAGGGTTTCCACAGCAGCTGCTAAGCCAGTTCCTGAGCTGTGGGAAAAGGGTGGGGGATAAACTGAGGGTAAATGGAACCAAACTGGTTTGGCAATGGGTCCCCATCATGACTGTCAGTGTTTCCACTGCTTTCTCTGCCTGTTCATTGCCACCTTAGAGCAGTGTGGTGATCTCAGTGGGTAGGGGTGGTAAGAGCTGTACAGTCCTGGGTTTCCTCTGGTTCCTGCTGCAGAGGAGGTGCCCCAGTAGCTGCTGGGAGCCAGAGGCACAGGTTGTGTGTCTCTTTCTCCAGACCTTTTAGCAGACCTCAAGGGAACAGTCCATCTGATCCACTTGCTGACTGATAAAGTGTGTCATTGACCTTAGATATGAATCCAAGAGTGTTGTCCAGGTTTTGGAATCATGATGAGTGTTCATGTGTGTTCAGCTGTTCAGAGACAGACCTGAAAGAGAAGCTCTTGTTAGCCCCAGTTTGGTGCTGTAGCCACCTGAGCCTGCCCCAGTTGTGATTCATTGTGTGTCATTCAAGGACTTCCAGCCTCAGCCTCGTTCATGAGCACCTCAAGGGCGTTAAAAGCCCAGGTACACTGAAGAGAGTCCTGGAGCACCCCCTGTTTGCAAAAGCCTTTCTGGTCCTTCTACGAAGAAGGAGAATGATACATCTTTAATGAAGGAGAAGAGCAGCTGCTCTCATACTCTCCTCAGTGTCTCCAACATTCAGTTTTTCACTTGTGAGGCATCTCAGCTTTCAGGCAGAACCCACCTGGTTACCTGCAGAGACTCCCCTTGATTTTAATGCGCTTTTGAATGAGTCCAAGTTCTACTCAGATGCTTCCAAGCCATTTTGCTGGAGTGAGGCTCCTCAGTTGCTGCTGCAGTTGGGATTTGTGATTTTTCAGTTCTACTTATGTAAACCCAGGCAACCTGCCTTCAGAAGCTGAATTTTCTGCTCTCCATTCCCAGGGAAAGATGTCGTTCTTGAAAGTGCCCAGCAGTTCCTCCTCGACCGTCAGTCCATCTTTGGGAACGACCTCATCAGCTTGCCTGAAAATTCATCACTTTATGTTCCTTCTGAAAATACAGCTCCCTACATGTCCTCTGTGGGTGTCCAAGGGGATATCCCTCTAAACCTGAGTTCTTCAATGGACAACAGCCAGCGATTTAGCTTCCAAGAAACAACTCCCTCCCAACCATCCAAGCATCCACAGGTTTGAATGTAAAGAAACAAAACTGACTCAGAAACCCGTAAGGGAGTTTATTTTTGTGCCCTTTTTTTTTTAATGAGTAGATGGAAGTGTTCAGTAGCTGTTGCATTACCCTCCCTGCACCTGGATTTCAGTGTTTCTAAAAACAAGATACTACTTCTGGTGCTTGCTCCAAGGGGGAGTGAGAACTTGCCAGGATGTTTTTTTTTCCTTGAAAATGCTTTAGAAATTTCAAATCTTTTAATAAAATTTAAGTGAAAAGTAGCTTTAAAGTCCATCTGAGACTTCATAAAATAGTGACCCTGACTAGTGCCCGCAATGGCAAACTGTTGGATTTTATTGGGGCAGCACAGATTAGCTAAAATGCCTGACCCTTGTTGATGCTGGTTTTTCATTAGGAAAATATTTCTACATGCCAGTCCAATGCTATAAAATAATTTTTTAATCCATTTTCTGGGTTTGATGGGATGCACCTGTTCATCCTAGGGTGAATAGGAAAATGATCTCTTGGGGTGTGTAGAAGCTTGTTTTCTGAGTGACCCCACCAAGAATGTGCCTCTGGCTCTTAGGGGAGCTAGAAATCATCACAGGCTGCAAAACATCCCATGCTGAGTTGAGAGCTTTTGTTGTTTGGGATTTGTTTTGCCCAAATTTATTTTCTCTTACATAAAGGTAGGGCACTCCGTACTTAAAAAATATAAAAGGGATAGACTTTTCTGCACACACGATTTTCCATGTGCAGAGAGGGCTGAGGGAGTGCATTCTGGGTTTTGGTGCTGGCTAAGTATTCCATGTCTAGTCCATTGGTTTTTTTTTCCTTGGCTTTGACCAGTTCTATTTCCCCTGAAGAAATGCCTGTTAGTTTATTGATGTATAAAATCTGATTAAACAGTTTAATTTATTGGATCCCTTTATTAGAAGGACTCTCAGCTTCTCAGTGTAGGAGAGAGGCAGAATGGTTAACCCACCATGTCCCACAAACTTTTCTTCTGCCCTTTGTGCATCTGAGACCAGCCTTAAAGGCTGAACTAACCTTCCCCATCCATGTGCTTTCTGACAACTGAGTTTCTCAACAAAGCAGAGCTTTGTTTTTTATGCTGTAGTTCTAATGAGAACATATTATTTATCTCAGTATCTTCTACCTGAGTTGCTTTTCCTTAGGAAGGTTACCCAAATGCAGTAGCACAGACCCAGGAAATTCAATTAACTCAGGCCTCCTAAGGGCTTAGACAGGGAGGTTTAAACTGTGCCAGTATCATTTGAAGAAATGCTCTGCCTGCCTTCATTGCTGTGACAATTCTTGGTTATGAACCATATTTCATTGTGGTCAAGCAGCATACACCCCAAGGTGTAGCTAATCAGACAGATGAGTGCAGGCTGAAAATCTCCTCAATAAGATGAGCATTTTTAAAATGGACCTTCCTGTCACAGCCCTTTCCTCCATCCATTTATCACTATGTGAACAAATGTGTTAGTTTAGAAACATTCACTTTTGAGCACATTTTTGCCCAGCTGATTCCTGCGCTGGGAGCTCTGTCTCTGCCTTGGTTGTGTGGTCTGTGCAGAAGTGAGGCTGTGAGAGCTCCTGAATTAATCCCAGGCACTGCTTTTGTGCTCAGGACTAAGGGAAAATTCCAGCAGCCCCCACTGGCCTGGTATTTAGATGATGTGCTTGAGTGTATCCTGGACAAGGTTTTTCTTTTTGACAGATTTGTGCTTAGAAATTTCACCTAGCTCAGCCCGTTTCCAGCCCATTTTACCCTTTCCAGCAATGGAAAGTCGTTGAGTTGCACTCTGTTTACTTCTTTTCTCATAGGTAATTGAAAACTGCCTGTGTCTCCTGACACTGACAGTGTATGTTCAAGATTTACACCCTTCTCTGAACTTCCATGCTCTAGGCTACTGTCATGTTAACACTGAATGTATTGATGCAACAAAGTGTTTAAGCACATGCTTAACTTCAAGCTCCTGAGTAGTTTGCCTGTATTTTTATGGAGCCTGTCACATGCTTGAGGCTGGGCATACGCTTGTGTCTGACTGGATTGTCTGGTTGGGGTTGAGAAATGAACCCCTGGGGAACTGCCCGTGAGCACAGCCAGGTGCAGCTCGGCCCTGGCTCCGTCTCGGGCTGTGTCCTGCAGGACAAGCTCCAGCCTGTGCTCCTGGGGTTTTCTTTAGGCTTTTTGCTGTACTATAAATGTGAGGTTGGAGCTTGATGATGAGAGAGGAACCTCCAGGAAGAGCACCTGGGAGCCATTCCTGTGAAGAAGGAAGCTTGTGTACCTCGGCTTTTACACTGTTCATTTTACTTGATGTGTTGAGACTGCCTTTTTGCACTATGCTGTATATTTGTAAAGTTTTACAGAAGACACTAATTAAACATGTTTCCTTTTTCTCATTTAGTCCTGCTTTGGCATTTCTCTCACTCCTTTCATCTATCCCTTATTCCTTGTCTCCTTCCCAAGTCCTCAGTGAGCAGTGAAAATAGTTTCTAAGCATTCAGAGATTCCCTTGTGAGGACCCGCTGGTGGGTTGTGGTCATCCACAGGGGCTGGGGAGACCTCCCATGGAAAATGTGGCAAAGTAAACACAGTGTGGAAAGCTGCTGAATTCTTCAAACTAAAATGCTACTCAGGGCAGATATAGCTGGTAATATCAGGATCACAGTAAGAGTCTACAGGCACCAAAACACAGCATGGAAAATGCAAAACCCAAAGTCCTCAAAATATAGTCCTTATCCAGCTTTCTGTCAGAAAAGGAAGCAGTTACTTTTTTAGGATGGAGCTCGTATGGGTTGGTGGCAGCATTTGCAGCTTTCTGAAGAGCAGATTCCTGTGCCAGTGCTTTCAGATAACCCTGTGCTCCACAGGCCCTTGGCTTACCCTGATCCTGTCCTGGAGGCCAAGGCTTTTGCCAGCTTGTTTTAACCACTGCAAGGTGGAAAATGGATGAAATTTAAAGCAGTTGTGTTGTCCTCTCTGAGGGCTTTCACTTGTTACTGTGTGGTCTGGTTCTCTTGCCACCAGATGGCACCTAAGCCCAGCTGATAGAAAATAAATCTTTTCAACAAGCCCGAAATAATATTTTATTTCTTTGAATTTGCACACCTACAAGAACTGTTCAATTCCATTTATTGCAAATTATTAGAGATGTATAGAAATATGAAAAAGACATTCATCTAAACTTGGCTGTACTCAAAATCCAGATCCTGAGACACATCTCAATGAAAAACAATGAAAACAGCAGATATAAGTGTATGTTTCATTACAGATGCCCTAAAAGGTAAAACCAGATTTTCTGTGCACGGATGCTATTTCTGCATCTTCTTAGGCATAAATAATCATAATGTCAAGGAATATTAGATCAGTAAAATTATCCTATCAAGAAGCAATTTCCATTTGTCATTGGAGTCCATCTGCTATGATGCACACTGGTATGGACTTAAAATATAAAACACCAAGTGAAAATATATATGGTTACAAATAGAATTTTTATTTAGTCAAATGACAGATACACTGAATTATGCTTGAGACTAATTCATCTGTAATGAAACTGATATATAAACACGTAACTAAGGCATTTCTAGAAGGATGCAAAGGCACAAATAACACAAGACTGGAATTTAAACTCGAAACAGCAGTTTTCAAAGTAGTGAACAGGCAGCTGCCCTGAGGAGCTGGAGCCAAGGGCAGTGAATTTTGATATCACAGTGTTATGTCAGTTTTAACAAATGGTCCCATTGCTGGCCTCCAAATTTTTGCTATTCCCATATTTTGGGAATATTTCCATGCAGTCAGGCAAACACTGTGCTCAAGATTTGATCTGTTTTCTTCAAAGTGATTAATCCAATCCATTCTCACCATCCTTGTCACTCTGTGCTTTATGAGGACATCCTTCCCCCTCATCCAGGCCTTCTGCTTCTCCATCACTGCCATTCCCTGTTAAATGCACAAAGGCAAAGGGAAAATGAAACTCACTTATGGTCTTTAATACTGGAAAAAGAAATACAGAGCCAAATTTTTAAAAACAATTTAAATGAAACTCAGTAAGAAATCCTCTGTAGAAAAAGAAAACATTTAAATTCCTAATTTATTAGGATTCACACATAAATAAAAGGAAGAGGTGATTGTAACTAACAACCTTCAATAGGAGCTGAACAGATCCTTAGTGTGCCTGGGCCACCCCTGTTATCTCTGTGATTAATAATGTCACTGTAATCTTACCATCCTCTTCCCAAGAGTTTGGGTCATCTGGTTGATGACAGACTGGTGACAACAGCAGATGATCCTTGGGCTCAGTGATTACCTCTTGTATCAAGGGTTTCAAAGGGGCTGCCTCTTTATCTTTGATCTCCAGGTATCTTTCTGAATTATCAGGCTCTATAAAGAAGCTTTTGAGGAGGGGTCTTAAACGCTCCTTTTCATGCTCTTTATGGTCCTGACATACATTTGAAAAAATTGCTGTTGGAATTTCTTCTGCTGAATTCTCAAGCGTGCTTTTATTGTTTTCCTCTAATGCAGAATCACTGTCATTTGTCACTTCAGAAATTATTTCAATCTTTGGGTGATAGTCCTGCTGTAAAGGTAGACATGTAATTGAAAAATTATTCTTAGATATAAAAGCCAAAGGATAAGTAAATATCTCTTGGATCCATGTAACAGTTGTCAGCTTTAATGCACTGTTCTCATAAAATATGTGGAATGTATGCTTCACTCATAGCTCTGCTGCTTTGTGAATGAATCTAAGGTTAGCAATTTCTCAGGCATCACCAATGAACTGACCATAAACTAATTAACAGTTCATAAAAAGAGCAGTGTGTGGGCACTGTTCCAATATTTTACTCCAAACAGAGGAACCTGATCAATATCTTCATCTGTCTTCAGCTGAGAACTGAGCCTTTGGAGCAGGACAGCTGCTAACACATCCTGCTCCCCTAATCCTCTTTCCTTGCCTTCTTTTAATTGGAGGCTTTGTTGGCCGAGACATTTTGCAACCCTGTTATGAGTCTGTGATCAAAAGGACAAATCAATTCCATGCCTTATGCTGGCTGTAGGAACAGTTGGCATTATCATGAAAAGACTTGTAAGAGCACGTGCTGTACCAGCCCCTGTCTCCAGCAAGGCCAATACGATTCTGTTATCAGCATGAAAATCAAAGCTGTACTTTTAAACTTAGTTGTCTTCTTTTTTTCTCTTCTATTTCTTGTTATAGCCTTGTGTCTAAAAGATTAGTTTGAGCAAAGCAAAACTCTAAGATGGACAAGGACTGACCTGCACTAGAGAGGAGAAGTTTCAATTTCTCTGTGATTTCAGTTGAAAAGTCAGATTTTGTTCAGCAGCAGGCAATTTGCCCCATATTAAAACTGGTGCAGCATATTTTAAGACTAATCTTCAGTATAACATTACATACTATTAAGAAATTAAACTTATGTAACTGTTGTATTACTGATCATAAGTTTTTATTCTATTTTTGCTACACAAAAATATAAAAGAGTCAGATTTAAACAAAGGAAGATTTACATGTAGATATGAAGGGCTGAAACCATCCATTTTAGTTTGTAAATGCATAAGTGATTGCATCTCCCAAACTAGCATTTCACAACTTAGATTATCCTCATTTTGCATAACCTTTGCAAATGTGTTTATGGAAGTTTCATTATTGGAATTAATGAAAACGTTACCTTCTGAACAAAGATTTCCTCTGCTGGGGAAAACTCGCTTACATCTACATCTTCTAAATCAGGCAGATCCTGAAAACAATCACAGATCAATAATCAGTGGGAAGAGCTACTATAACCCATGAAAAATTACATCTCTGGCTCATTAGACAAATTCTTCAAAGCAGTGCTCATCAGGGTGTGAGGCCACAGCCAGCAGGACCCCACTGCCATCCTCTCACAGGCACAGTTTGCTGTTAAGCACATGTGGGAAAGGGAAAATTAATCTGTCTCCAGAAATAGCCCTAATGTCACACTGAATGCTGTTTTCTACTATGCTGTGTGATTATGAAGGCAAACAGGATAAAGAGTAAGGCATTACCAGGATTTTAAAAGCAAACATGGTTTATTCTCTTAGCTGTCTCCTGTCTATTCAGTAGACTTAATCCCAACAGCAACCCATCCGTATGGGTAAGTGCCAAATCCAGACGTGCAGGCTTCCTGAAACTGCGTATCAGGTAAACTCTGTTAACCTAAACACACCTAATAAACCAATGTTTTACTGTGAATGCCTCATAATTAAGACACAGAACTGCTAACTTGCTGAGAACTGTTTTTCCCCAGACAGGTCAAATAATTTCAGCTTTTCACTAGAAAATATCAGACAACTATCATTTGCTGACATGAAAAGAAACACAGAAGGTGGGAATGCAAAATCACAGGTAGAAACTAATACCTTTTGCCACTTTTTTTTACTGTAGGTCAATACTAGAATAAGCACTTCCTTTTGTTTTTAGATATTTTTACCACTTAATGACTTTGTAGCAGACTGTTTGGTGTGATAGCATCGGGAACATCTGTACTGTCTTGTATGGTGAAGATAATTACACAATTAAAAACAAGAGTGGAAATGTCTCCTTCCTGATATGGTTGCAGCTATTGCAGCATTGTCCTGAAGTCACAGAGTTTTATAAAAATTGCATTAAAAATGTACAAATTAAGATCTGAGACTGATATGGAGTTTGATGTCAATAGGGAGATGACAGCTGTTAGTCTTGTTTCAGTCATCAGGGTGCGTTTGCAGATCAACTACGAGTTAACCCACTTGAGGTACATGGGAATGTGGTTCCTACTCTGCCAAGGCATGTGCAACAACAGGAGCTTGTTTCAGCTTGACACAGGGATGTCATAACCACTCATTGCAAATCCTCCTCCACTCTTCTCCCTATATTCCTTCTGAGACCATCCAGAGACTCAGGATATGAATAAAGACAACGGTGCTGCTCCAGATCCTCTCACTATCAGCATCTTCCGAGCCATTCCCTGCTATGTCAGCACTAAGATTTTTTGGGATATCTGCAATAGGGTAAGTACTGGAGGCTGCTGGGAGAGGCTCTTTCTATTACTAAATGTTGCTGGAGAACAAGTAGCATAGAACACTGAAATGTGCATTAGTGTGTGATTTGGGTTTGGTTTTCCTTCTGTAGAATTAAAATAGTCCCACTTTTTAAGCCTCTAAAAGCCCACAGATGTGTGCTTAAGAGTTATTTTTATACTGCCTTGAAGTTTGTGCACAAGATCTTCCTATGGTGCCATAGAGCATCAAGGGAAAAACAAACACTGAATCAAGGAGATCTTCACATTGTGGGTACCTACAGTGTCACTACATATTTACTTTAACTTTACTACAACCTTTACTTCAGACACTACAAGATCTACTTTTAAGAATAATATTGTGCACACTTCAATTGCTGCTCATTTTCTCCACTACCTTTTTTAAACCTATGATTAAAAACAGCTCAACAGCAGGAAGCAGCAGCAAAGCCTCTACCAAAGCAGTGGGCTGAGCCCTTCAATAACAACACAGAATTTTTCCCTTGGAAATTAAGAGCATGGCAAAGATATGAGGCTTTTCTGCCAGTAGTTAACAATGGCAGTACAGGGTGTCACAGGATGTATTAAGTGCTCAGGGAAATCATAAGCTCAGAACTTTTTATTGCTGATTATATCAAAGTCTGGTACTGTCAGTTTATCAGCAGTGTCCTAATTAGGAAATATTGGACAATTCTCCTTTGAAGTGAGGTTGTATTTTTCAGTGGTATCTATATATTTAACCTCATGGTTCAATGTGGTAAACATGTTTAAATGTTGCATCAGATAGACATTTTAAATAATAGAAGACCATACTACAAATGTCAATCACTTATTATATATCTGAATAGTGTACATTCTGCTCTTCTTGGAAACAGACATCAGAGTTTTATTCTGAAAATGAATTTATAGTATCTAACACTGCTGGGTAACATTTAGAATGATGGGGCTATCATTGTTAGCTATTTCTTCCCCATGGTTTTTCTGCAATAGTTCACATTTTCAACTGTGTATTTCATTTGAGTTTTGATTAAGAGGACAAATATGTCTACCAGATTCTTTTCACTGTAACTTCTGTTTTTAAATGAGAGCTCTCATTAGCTTCTCCAGAGAAATCACAAAGATAGAAGGTCAGCTTCAGGTGATTTACAGGACAAAAGGATTTATAGGATAAAAAATTTAAGGACAAAATAAACTTTGGAAGCATTCTTCATAAATGCTCCACAGGAGAAAACACCCCTGCAACTTTACTTTTTTGTTGGTTTTTTTTTTTCTTTTTTTTCTTTCTTTTTATTTTTCCTAACAGTAGGCCTTTCTCTAAAAACTTGCCCATATAGTTTTATTATCCAGAATGTTACAGAATTAACTTGGACAAGACAATACACACATGTGAACTTCTCAAAGTCTGAATCCAATACATACATCGAGAGAAAGTGTCTCCAGTGTCTCCAGTTTGAGATGTTCAATTTCAGCATATTCCTCCCTCTCAGGAAGCATGGCCTGGTCAGTGGCTGTCTCCTGTCCTGGTTGATCTACAGAATAATCAATAGTCCATTGCAGAGAACTAACTGAATAAAAAATGTCTACATTGCAACAGCAAGCACTGCAGAACCAGACTGCTGAGGACTGTCACTGGAGAATTCACAGCTCAATCCAATGCTTTTTTTTTTTCTATTATATTCTGGGTCTCTCTTCTACTGTATAAATTAATATTTGCATGCAATAATGTGTTCCACAAATCTATAAAAGCATTTCTCTATGTCTGAAGGCACAAAACCATCTTTAGAGTGATGATCAGCTTCTGTTGGCAGACAGACTGCCTATTTTATGTGGGCACAAGGGAAGTCTGTAAACTCTCCTGGCCTTTCACTAAACCTGGCATGTTTGAGAAGTGGAGTTCCACCTTTAAGTTGCAGAAGTTGCAGGTTAAGCCTTCAGAAATTTACTATTTGTTGTATTTAAAGAATATTTTACCCAGTATTGCTTGATTTCACCTAGTCACTGTGGAAATCGAATGGAATGTTTTTACGTATGAATTGGCTTGAGCCACAGCAGAGGCACTGCTCCACTAAGACAGAGGTTGGCTCATCATCTCTGCATGCTCAGTTTGGTTTGGCTCTTCACTGTGTACGTTACCGTCTGTCTCCTTGTTGAAATTTGCACATTTGTTAGAGTCTGGTTCCTGTGCATGCTCTTGAACTTCATCAGGTGTATTTCCAGATGTGAAATCTCTGTTATCTCCTCTATGTGTTATCACTTCATCACAAACATCAAAACTTTCATTTTTAATTTTTTCAGCCTTTTCTTGAGCTTCTTCTAATCTGTTTGAAGTTTCTGATGTACTAGAATTTCCACCACCATCTTTTGAATTTGCAGGTGCTCCTACAGAAGAAATAATTTCATTAAAATTGCTGAGCTAATCTACCAATGCTCATTTTAAATATTCAAACACTACTACAGTGGGCTAGAATGTGCATCAAAAGCTCCTACTTTGAGCAGCTATTCATGGATCAGTAGTCCACCCAAGACTGAAGCAATCTGTTTTCCCACCTCAACTCCCCAGAAAACAGAAGTTCCCCAGGAAAAAAAAAACCACCTAGAGAAAATGCTTAAATAATAAATGTCTGGTATGTCCAATACTTTGAAAAGGCTCACAAGTCACAAGACTATATATTTAAATACATCCTTGAAGATTTTGATGGATCAACAACAAATGCTGGTTTACCCTCTCCATTGTGCAATCCACTTGCCTGAAGAAAAATATTTACTTGTTATTCAGTCCAAAGATGTATCAGATAAAGACTCCTCTGCACATTCAGACTGAAGAGGTCACAGACATCTTTCAAATCAGTAGGCACCAACCTTCTTGGGTATCTGCTGCAACTCCTGCCATGCACTTTTGTATCTTCTTTTCCTTTGTTCTTTGCCTAATTGCTGCTAACGCATCAATGCTATCTTGGATTTTTTTTCTCTCTCTGGTTTCCCATTTTTCCCTTTCTGCTTTCTCAGCTTCAAGCCCTCCAACAGCCCAGGCTTCTGCACAGGCTCTAATGAAAACACAAAAGCTCACTGTAATACAGCTATAAAAGCCTGCCTTTGCAATGAGAGAGGAATTTAAAATAGTTTGAAACAGCACAAAATAGTTGCAAGAGAAAAAAGCAGAAAGCAGTGACAATCCCTTATGCATCAGGGACATACATTTATTTCACAAAAGACACAGAGACATCCAAATGCTGATTGGTGATTACACCACCAGAGATTGGTCTCGTCTTGGGTCAGTTGTTCCAGACAACCACTCAGTTTCTGTTGAAATCAGGATTTTCCTCTGGTCTACAGACCTGTCATGAGACAATTCTCTTCAAGAATTATTTTCTGAAAAAATACATCACTTTTTTCTAGGCATGTGAGATGTAGAACCCTGTAGTACAATACTCTTCTGCTCAAAGTCATCCACCTTCAATAAATTATACTGGTCAATCTTCCTTCCATGACAGTATTGACAGAAAATGGATGAATGATTGTTAGCACTTGATTCTTATTGCTGAGTAAAGAAGATGGCTGTATTTCTTACCTATCCTTTGGGAAAACTGGTCTGTCATCTAGATATGTCAGCTGTTTTAGTCGAACAGTGAGTGTTTTTCTATAATTAGCAATTTTCTTTATCACCTCATTTCCCATCAAATTCAGCACATGCTAGAGAAACAAGGGAAACAATTTTTAAGCTTGAGTAGCAAAAACCTCAGTCTGGATCTGCACTTCCCCTGTCGTTTCAAAAGCAAGAAATGAATAAAACATCCAAGGTGTTACAGGTGATCTACCAGAAACAAACTGATGTTTGATAATGTTTCTTTTAGACTGATTCCTACTGTGCACTGAACTACCCAACAAAGATACTTGATGTGGTTCACCCACACACGACACAAACCATCAGCTCTTCTTGGCTTACCAGATTGGGCATGGACTCCAGAATAGCTACAATACTCGGATCACTTAGATTGTTGTGGGAAAGATCAAGAACAGAAATACTTGGGCATTCCTGCAAGTGCTGGATGTCTTCCACTGTCCGTAACTTATTGTGAGCGATCTGCAGAGTCTGCAGGACTTTCAGACAAGCTGCAGACAAGAACAGTACAATGAAAGGAAAGAGTTGTCACTTCACAGAGGGCCTTCTGAGCAAGTAAAAAAAATGCATTGTCAAACTAATAGTTTATATTGGATTTGGAGCTTTATTCTAAATTTGCTATTCTGCTCTATATACACTTTTTGGCTAGGCTTCCAGAGCTGCTTTCTTCACCCCAGGGAAAAATAGCTGCTTGGTATTCGGATGGTGGTTGTTTTTAATTCACATTTCAATCTAATCAGTTACACAAAAGCAAGAGCTTGTGTTTCAAAATTCTCCAGTGTATGGAAGTAGTAATGTACAGAACTAGTTTTTTTATTTTTCTGCTGAAGACAGAATCCATCTTTTAGCAGATATAAAAGATTTAGTAATTGTGTCTGCAACTGCCAAAGCACATGTTAACTGTAAAGTAAATGGTGAAAACTGAATTGTCAGCCTGTCTGCAACACAGATAATTATTGAGATGGTAGTCAGGAAAAACTATTTAATTATCCTAGGTATTCATGTTAAAGTAGTTTCTACGTATTTTCTGTTTCTCAACATAGGTTTTATTCCTCTACAAAAGCCTCGTGGGCTTTGGTATGGATATTGTGCAAAATTCTAACACAAATAAAAAAATCCTTTGAAACTAGTGCCTCTAACAAAGCTCAGTCAGAGCTTAGGAAATACAGGCTTGCCAGAGGCTAAAACCTGTTGCACTAACAGTTCTTACAGAGATTCTCAATGGTCCTAATGTAGTTGTTACTGATATTGAGGGAATCCAGCTTTTGTAAAGGTTCAAGGTTTTCTATTTTCTCAATTAAATTGAGTTGCAAATAGAGGCAACGCAACTCTGTCTGAGCCTCCAAATTCTCAATTTTTCTTAAGCCATTGCATTGCAGCCACAAACACTTCAGTCCAGTATATTCTTCAAGATTCTCCAGTCGGTCAAATCCTGCAGAGAAAAAAAGATGTTTTAAAATGAAATGGCATTGGCTGAAAATGGCTCTTTAGATGAGAAAATTCCATTAAACCAGAGCTGCTGAAACACCTGAGAGAGCACTGGTACTGAAATTACTGCAATATTTCCACTGAACTCATGGTACTGTTTCAGGCCCATAAAGGGCAAAACCAGGTTGATGCCTGTTCTGGTCTGTATCACAGCAGCCCTTTAGATGCTAAATAATACATAGCAAAACCAAAGCCAAATATAGAAGGTAGCATATCCTATTTATTTGGAAGAAATCCTAGGCTAACTTGGACCAGGTAACTGCATCATGCAAAAATCTGCTCAGAGATCACTAGAGGATGAGCAATGTTCATTCTAACAATTTTTTTTTCTTTCAGTAGTGTTTGCAAACATGCAGCAAGTCTTTACTGTTTATTTTCATCTTGAACATGGCAAGTAAAAAAAGTTCCAAAAGCTGGAAAAAGCTCTTTATACAAACAATTTAAGGAAAAATATGTATGTTTTCCTCTGATTGCAACCCACGACAGTATTTTAAGAAATTCCTCAGAGGCTCCTGTTTCAGTAAAAGAAAGCAAAAATATGTCACTTGATCCCTATTGATCCTTTGGAAGGCTCCATAAAGAGAGTTAGATGTACAGTTTACTTTTCTACCTACATATTGACTCATTTTACTTCCCAAATCCAGAATTACATAAAATTGTGTTTCTAATTTAGAAGAATGACTAGATACCTTAGTTCAGTGAGCCATGAAGTAGATTCTCTGCTAAAATGCTACTTAGAATGATCAAGCTAGGCAGTCATGTCCACATCTTACCTTTATAATGCAGGTACAGTGTATCATTTAAGTATGGGGTCCAGTATAATTTCTGCTGTTTACAGATGTCTAGCAGAATCTTTTTTGTCATTCTGAAATAGTACAGGAAGCAGAAGCAAAATAAAAAATATAATTCAGTGCACATTCTGAGATCTTTCGTTTCCTTACAGATTCCATTGCAACACAATTAACGATTCTTTCATGCAAGAGAAATAGCTACAGCTTTCAAAATTATATTCCAAATTAAAAAAAAAAAAAAAAGCTGGGTTTTTTAGTGTGGCTTTTAATTTCTACCTTTGAAGTGAGTTACCAGGCCCTCCTGCTAAAAAACAGAGGGTTCATAGGAAAACAGGCAGGGAAGTAGAGTCCATCTTCTTGGAAAAGGGCGGCATGATTTTATATTAGCTTCTGGTTCTAGTGCTAGCTTCCTCTCCAATTCTTTCCCCTATTCTTCGTTGCTTTGGTACAGGACTTTTGGTGGCAGAGCCAAAATGCAACATTTTTTTTCAGAGTAGAGAAATCAACAGTAATCAACCCAACATTTTCTTGAAATGCTGACTCCAAAATAGCACTCATGAAAGTTTTGATATACAGCTGTTGGTTGGCTGGGAATGCCACTAGGAATTATCAGAATGCTTTGTCTGAACTGATGCAGAGGAATGATTAACTCTACTGGCACGTGACTTCCATGGGAGTTTGCACAATTTTCTCCAGACCCATTAAACGACTTCATCATGTGGTCAGAGTGTAGTTTGCTACTCTGGCCATAAAACCCAAACATCTGTACAGATGCTGGAAATATCACCAATACCTGATTTATCCATTATTCTGAAGTTTATCTTCAAAACTGTTCTTCAGAACTGAGATGAACACACAGAATAGCAAAACTCCCGATGATGCCAACACATCCACAAACAATGTATTACCTTACAGAACCTCTCTTTTCCTCTGTCCTTTGACTGGATGAGCTGGTTCCAGACTTCTGATCAATACCTGCTTTTTGTTCATTCTGTTGATCTGCTCTGGATGTAGAGTTGACTTCTTCCTCTTGAGTTTTAACAGCTTTATAAATAAGAAAATGAGTTGCAATTTAACAGAAAGGGTGGGGAAAATGTGTCGTGTTGCAAATTACTTTAGAGAAATATTGAAGAGCACTTGAATATGAATTTCAAGAAGAGAGTGTTTTAACCAAGATTTCTGCTGACATTTTTAATGAAACTTTTTTACACTGCATCATACAATAAACAATAGCAATTGAATTATTGAAACCTGCATATTTTTATTTTTTTTTTTTACATCTGGAAGTCAGATAGTACCCATTAATCTTATCATGTACAGTGACAGTAAAGTACTGACACCAATGTTCTTATGGTGTTAGACATTTAATATATATTATATTTAATTAACACCAATTTGAGTTTACTGTAAAGAGACTACAGCAATGGTGTATCAGTCATCCCAAGCACTGTTAGTTTAGCTCTTCTACAAATTTACCTTTTTGTGATCCTTGGAAGGTGCCTTTACACTGCCTTTAATTAATTGCAATTTCAGTATTTGTCTCTTCAAATACTTGCTCTGAACCTTCTACTTGCACTTGTAGTTCATACATTTAAAGAGAAAGTGCAAACAAGATGATTGTACCAGCTTACTTAAATATGACTATAATTAATAATCGGATGACATAATAATCGGATATATTTAGTAACACAAGAGGCAGTGGGCTGAAAGTGATGCACATAATTTCCACCTGAACATAAGGAAGAACTTCTTTACAGTGTGGGTGACATGCACTGGAACTGTTTGCCCAGAAAGGGCGAGGAGTGTCTGTCACTGGAGATATTCCAGACCCACTGGACACAAGCCTGTGCCCTGTGCTGTGGGATGGCCCTGCTTGAGCAGGGAGGTCGGAGCAATGACACCCTGTGGTCCCTTCAAACCTCACCCATCCTGTGACTCTGTGATTTAGAGGTCAGGCTAGCTGTGTGACTACAACACTAGAAGAAATACTTCTCCGGCAGTAGGAAAGTAAAGAAATGTCAGGAAAGCGAACAAGATCACAGGAAGATAGCAACTGAGTATGCCTCAGTTATGTCAGGATTTCCAGTGACTATCCTGGCAGAAAGCACACACTCGTATTTGCATCCAGATGAGTATGAACAGCCGTGATGTGCAAGCTTTGTGTGCTGGCGAGCGAGCCGAGGGGCTCACCTGTGCTCACAGCGCTGCCCTCACGCTCCGTGTGGGCACCTCCGCTCCCGGTGTCGCCCGGCGACGCCTCTGACACCTCAGGCGCCGGGACCGCTCCTCTCCGGCCGCTGCCCGGGTCTCCAGCGGGCGCCGCCCGCATCCTAACACCCCCCGAGCCGGTATGGGATTTACGCTCTGCCTTTTTCAGACAAAATGTCCACAGGTTTTAGTCGGCGGCGGGCGAGAAACGGGGCGCAGCCCGAGCCCCGCGAGCCGCCTCAGCCGTGGCCATGGCGACGCCGCGCGCAGCCCCACAAGGCCCCGCGCCCGCTCCCGGCGGCCCCGCGCGGCGCAGGCGGCGGCGGGCGCGGGCGGCGCGGCGGGCACAGCTCCCGGCCCGGCCAGGCTGGTGAGGTATCGGCGGGGCAGGGCCGCGGCGGGGGTGGGGTACGTCGGGGGCAGCCCGGGACAGGGAGGGCCCCGGGCCGGGTCCTTGAGGGCCGGGGTTGGGCGAGGGGCCGAGACCCCGGGCCCGGTGGCCGGCGCAGGGAGCGCTCCCGGAGCCCGCTGTCCCGCCCCGGGCGAGGGGCGGGCGGCGCGTCGGGTCCTGCCGAAGAGAGAACGGATTTGTGCATGTTAAAACGTGTATTAAGTAGTAAAAGCTGTGTGAGGCACAGCAAGCGCGATGTGCCTGATGCGCTGCGCTGTGCCGTGGGTCAAGGACAGCGTAGACGCGATGCCTTTGACAGCGCTGGGGACTGGCGTTCTGTCTCTGAGACTGCTTTGTCTCTCGTGTTGCTTTTCGTCCTTGAAAGAGCCCATTGGTTCTTTGTGTCTCAGCTCTCTCGTGCTGGTTATCCTTGCCTCTCTTGTAGGTAGTTTTTCGTCTTCCAGAATGGGTTTTCACCTGTTAAGCATCTGCTTGAATTGTTTTATTTACAGAATCATTGATTATGGTTGTTGCAGTATAACTGATTAATAGTTCAACCCTAGGAAAAGGGATAAACAGTACCTAAATCAGTGAGGATGATGGTAGGTGACACCCAAATTTTAGCAGACTTGTGGTTTTTCTGCTTCGAAACAGTTCTCAAACTGTAAAATGCTGAATCTCAAAGGTTATCCATACGGTCTGAAAAGTTTACGTGGCCCAAGAGGCAATTGTAATTGCATGTGTCTTTTTCTAAATTTGTTTAATTTTTATTTTTTTTTTTTTTTGTTTCAGGCTTGTGGTCACCATGGCTGCAGTGGATCGATTCTCTCTCTTGTACAGAGAAATCAGTCGCACCTGCAGTTTCTATATAGAAGCCCTGGCTATTGTTGGAGCTTGGTACACATTCAGAAAGTGTGTGTCTCTGGCGTTGGACACTTACAGCGCGCTCAGGCTGCACGTTATTCCAAGGCTGAGTGGGAAGGTTGATCTTGTCAAGAAGTACGGGAAATGGGCTGTGGTCACAGGTAAGAGATGAAGGGGTAAATTTGCTTCTGTTTATGTAACATACTGTGCCGGTGCTGTGAAACTTGGTGGCTGGTGGCGCTGGGTGAGTTTTATGTCACAGGCTTGGGCCTGTATTAGCTCTGGTTGCAGGTTAATCTGCCTGAGCAGTGGCTGTTTTTCATGGCCTTTATAAATTAATTCCTCAGGAGATGGGCAAGCTAAGTGAATTGACTGACTGCTGAGAAAGAATCACAGCAATTGTTGCCCAAATTTGCAAAATACATCTTGATTACCTGCAAGTGTAGATGAAGATGTAGAAAACATCCTTTTTTTGCTATGAGATGTTCATATGTGCCCTAGTTCTTCAGCAAGGTTTGAATCCTGTATCTGACATTCCTGCCTTTCATTAAGGTTCTCCTTTGAGCTCTCTCTTGTCATAGAAAACATAAAACTTTCATGAGGGCATTGCAGAAGGTGGTTGACAGTGTTGTCTTTACTGTTGTGTCTTTGAATTAAATATATTTAGTGCCACATGATCACAGAAAAAAGAATAAAGCTATAATTGAAAGAACTGTCCAAGTAGAAGGCTGGTGTTGCTCTGTTTTTCACTTGTGTGTTCTATTGCTGTTTTCTCTTGCAGGTAGCACAGATGGTATTGGGAAGGCTTATGCTGAAGAACTGGCAAAGCATGGTGTCAACATCATCTTAGTCAGCCGAAGCAAAGAGAAGCTGGAGGCTGTATCTAGGAGCATATCTGAAACCTATAAAGTGGAAACAGATTTCATAGTAGCTGATTTCAGCAAGGGGCGTGAGCTTTACCCAGCCATTAAGGAGGCTCTGAAAGACAGAGAAATTGGGATTTTAGTGAATAATGTAGGAATATTTTACAGCCACACAGACTATTTTACTAATCTGTCTGAGGATATGCTATGGGACTTGATCCATGTAAATATTGCTTCTGCTACCATGATGACACATATCGTGCTGCCTGGCATGGTAAAGAAGAAGAAAGGGGCAATTGTCAACCTTTCTTCAGCAGTCTGTTGTCAGCCAACACCGATGCTGACAGTCTATGGAGCCTCTAAAGTAAGTTGTGATGTTAAATGGCATGCACTGGCAAGTACATTATAGTTTGGTTATTATGAGGGTTTTTTTGAACACATTCAGCAAGGATGTCAAAATACTTGAATGTTGTCTAGGGATTTGTTTAAATATTGGAGGTGAATGATGCATGTATTATGCAGTAAACTCTTCATCCTCACCAGTGCTGGGCTTTGAAAAGTCAGTGCTCTTGCATTTTGTGTGAACTATGGCATAACAGTTATTCTAGGAGAAGTATTGCATTTCTCAGATGCACAAAGCAAAGAGGCAATTCTGTGGGCCCCTTTGAAAGGGTCAATAATTTAATCTCTTTCTTCTTCAGCTGAACTGTGCATGTACCTCAAGCCCCTTGCATGCCAGTATTTGGTAGCAAAAAGGGCTGTACTCATGCTCAAGCCACCACTGTGACACAGTGTGTGGCCAAATCAAGCTGCTGCTTCATGTAATACCAAAGAGTGTTGTGGCATATTTGGGGACAAGTGAAAAGAACTCTCCCATAATTGTCCTTCCTGGAGAGATCCAGCCGGTAATGAATAGGACTGGGCAGCTGGGTGATGCTGGAGGAATGAATGCTCATGGTGATGGTGGATTTACAGTGGATGAGATGCCATTGAATCCACAAAAGCAACTGGGATTGTGGAAGGATCTCACCTAGATCCAGTGTCTAAACACAAGTGGTTATTGCTCCTGGCTGTCAGTGGCTGCCCTCTGTTGTAGCCTTGCTCCTGACAAAGCTTTTTTATTTCCTTTGGCCTGGAGCAAAACCATCTCTTACTACCCCAAGGTGTAAAACTCCTTGCAGACTTTCTTCAGTGTGGAAACTGGCTTATGATTACTCTTTCTGTGCAGAGTATCTGCCCCTTTGATTATGCCAATCAAGTGTATGTAGAACTGTACTCTGAATTAAAACAATCAAAAGGCTTGAATGAAAAAGAAGAAACACAAATGTACCAAAGTTTCTTCATTTAGCTGAGATAATTAACCCAAATCCTAGATCAGGAATCCAGCTTTAAGCCTGGCCTCAGAACACGGAAGTGAGAACAAGCTACTGTAACATCCTAAGCCTCTTTGTGCAGTAACAGTGAATAATGCTTGAAGTGGTTGCTTTAGCTTTCGTAAAGCAGCTGTAAGAGCATTTGTACAAGGTGCTTTCCCAACAAACTTTTGAGAAAACCTTTTGCAAGGCTGGTTGGGAGCAGAAAGATATCTGCTCACAAGCTGAGTCTAAAATGCTCTTTCTCAGGGAGAACTGGCTGTGTGGCACAGCAGTAGCTTCAGCAGGGAAGGCATCAGTGTTGCTGCCCTGGTAAAACTGAGCCAGACTTGTTTTTCAGTCTGACTGCAGCAGTCCCAGTTATCAGCCTTGTGCTTTTCTTGTTCTGTAAAAGTAAAATGAGCTAAAGGAGGTAATGCAGATAGACATTTATGAATCTGTCTATGTAAGAGAGTTCCAGGAAGTAACTAACCTGGCTTCTGGAGAAGACAGCTGAATGCAAAATTTACCTCTACATATATTAAAGAATATGACTTTATTTTCTTCTTCTGACAGTAGTAGGTAGAGCTGGTAGAGTGTCCATGCAATGCCCCCAGACCAAATAAGGTGTTTATTTTAGATGAAATAAATGTTTTTGTACTATTTTAAAGCAGAAATTGTCAGATAGGGATAAGCATTCACTTTGTTCTGCAAGTTACTCTACCATGGCAGGTTTATAGAAAATAACAACACACAGAAATGTTGATAATACTTCAGAAAATCACATTTTTATATTATTTAGTAATATTTATTGAGCCGGTGCATAAAATATGTTAAAACTTTTTTGTAATTTTAATAAAATTTTGCCCTGAGATTTCATTGTTTAAAAAAAAAAGAAAAAAAGTCTCTTTTT